CGCTCTCAACATCGGTGGCGGAGGTGACTCCACCCCGGCGGCCAACGTGACGGCTAAGGACTGCTCGTTTACGTGTCCTGGTAACAGTACCGAGTATTGCGGTGCCGGTGTGAGATTGAGCTTGTACATCCTCAAGGACGAGCTCGAGAAGTTGCAAAAGTCCAACGCGACAGTTTCTTTCAAGTCGACATAAATCATGATTGAGCGGGGTTAATGTCTATTCTTGTGTAATTACCTATAGAGGACCACGGTCTCCGTGCTGCACGGCAAACGAATGCAGCCTTTTCCTAAAATATAATATTGATACCTCCTACCTTCTAGTCTGATTTGAGAGTGGCTTTAGTCCATTCTATGCCTTGTCTTTCCCGATCGCTCTGCTCATGGCTGTTGCACTATCTTTCAACTCCTTTTGATAGGAACCGATGTCTCATGCCGTGAAGGTAACCTTGATGGCCACCCAATCAAGATGTTGCCATATGTTCACCCACTAAATACGTTCGCATCACATTACCGTGCTACCACAGAGAATAAGCCACTGCCGAGTTCCTTGCCGCGGGAGACGATCTCTGTATGATCGACATTATCCGAGCTGCAGGTGCGCCATTGACACATTGGACATTGATGAGAATATGCACCGGTGGTCTCGTCATGGAAATTCCATAGCCGCAGAACTAATGGGAGGCAAGTGTCTAATGTAACTACCTAAGATCAGATCATGCTCGTGTGGAGGCATGTAAATCTCCCGAGAGGGATCGGCGAGAGTCCCGCCCCTTTGGAAGGAGAACATTGTGGGCAGGGCTGTGAGCATGCTACGCGCGGTTGGCGCGTCCGATTCACATTCGAGTTGTATAGATATTTGACGAATACGACTAACGGAAGTGAGCCAGTAAGGAAAGGAGATTCAAGGGAGTCTATGTCCCTAGGAGCCGTGCAAAAATGATCACATAATCCTTCAAAGGCTTCCCCCCTGAGGCCTGGAGATGTAATGATTTTGCATCGGCATGGCACATACAACAGCATGTACGCGTCTCACCTAGCCGTCTGTCGGAGAAAAAACTTAATGCCAATCGTTCTTTGGATGGTATTTACGAAGCCTTGGCAAGAATCCAAGTTCAAGGCTTCGAAGCTCAAGACACGACCAGGATATACCATTTGCCAAGGGCCACGAAGCCATGGGGAATCAGGCCACTACGGCAGGCTGCAGGATCAAATAGCGGGCCCTTCTTTCTTCTCGGGTGATGTCGGCCCAATATCCGTACTGCTGTATTGACCACGGCCTCGCGAGTCACTCGGCTGAGATGGCGAGGCCAGCGAGTCGAATGAGGCGGGAAGCGAGAGATCCAGACAAGGCTAGGCCTTGCTTTGGAGAGTCGTCGTGTGGCTGGATCTCGCCGGGCTCCGTTGTGGATACTCCAAACTCTTCCCGATGTCTGAGCCGCCGAGCCCCGGAACTCTCTGAACCCAAAGGCTTCTGGCAGGGTCGGAGCTGTCACGGCTTACGCACGTTGCATGTGGATGCACAGTCACGACGGTTTCCGGGATGCTAGGGAACGAGCGCTAGGAAATGGGGGTTTAGAGTTTCTGCACAACATCCCGAGAAGTGGATCTCGGGGCGTCTCGGCGGCGCCGGGCTTGAGGGCCGGAAGGAGCCGGCTCATTGTTGCAGAGGCTGGCACGGAGGAGATCGAGCACCGGGTAGAGACTGAAGTCTGGCTTTTACGACTCTGTCTGCTATGACAGGCTATTGTGAAGACATAAAACTTTTGCAAAGTTTTGCAAAGGGAGTTGAGAAGTTCATCATGGATTCCCAGGTGGCGCTCAGCCGTACAAGAACAATAGTAGCAGCTCTTGGCGCAGCGGCAGCTCCACTCCTATGCCTCTAAGAAATGCAAAGACCACAATCCGGTCTCAGGTTTGGAAACATTGGACCGGCCCGGGTCGGGGTCTCATCCCGCTTTCTCTTTTTCTCTCCTTCTCTTGATTCCTCGAGTGTTGAGTCTTGGTCCCGCTGAGAATACCTCCCACGAACTTCCACCGCCGTAGGGACCCGGCATGCGCGAGGTTAATCCCGTCAGGTAGAGTGGGTGAGGCTGGTTGTGGGGTAACGATCTAGGTGGGTATCTGCCAACACACCAGGCTTGCGACTGTTCAATGTTGATTTGCTGGGTTTTGCGAGGGAACTGATTCATTCTCTTCGAAAGCGGATTTGTCAAAATCAGATCATCAGGTAACCAGGTGGAAAAACTTTGATCTCGAACAGAGTGTGAAGGATTGGGATTACAGCAACAAAAGAAAGTGGCCACCGAATTGCAAATACAAGAAGGATGAATCGATCAGTAGACCCCGAGTTGAACTTGACCGCCCAAAATGTGGGAAGAAAATCGAGATCATCAACCTCAAATGTGGCGTGACTTCTACAGCAAATGCAAATTCCGGTTAGCTGGCACGATATGACAATGCGGGCCCTCCATTGTAAGGACTAAGCGCCGCGGCATTGCTTTTCTCGAGCCTCAGCCGTCGGCCGCCTCGCAGCGGAACCGGGAAAAGGTGGACACAAGCCTTCAAAGTCACGCCATGCAGCAGGACTGGGCGCCATTAATGTCTCAGGGACAACGGACAATAGGACGGGTACCATCTCGGCAAAAAGATGGAGGAAAAAACTTTCTTCGACGCTGCGAATTGAGGTACCCGTAAGGCAAGGTATGGGGACGAGCTTTCATGTACGTGTCGTATAGGTAAAAGCCGGAAGTCAAGTTCAAGATTTACGAATGACGGCTCCATGATCGGTGCCGGGATGAGGCCTGGCCGCAGGGACTGCTTCGTCCCGACTTCAGCTCGCGGGATATGGAGTCGAGCAAAGGCCAGCAGCGGGAGATCTGCATGACCCCTGTTCTTTCGCAGACCGCGCCCGGGTCGTAAATCCAGTCTCGACGAAGGACGCGCTGATCTCATCGTGGCAGGACGGGCAACTGCAAGTTTGAGTGGACATCCATGGGGCACAACTCAAGAGAGCTACCTATACGGAATCCGGGGTTGGGGCGGCTGGGACTTCCCCCTTTTGCCATTCGAGAACCGTGGTTTTCTTCGCCATGGGAAAGATGTGATACCTGTATCCTTGCGAATCGGGAGCGGGAATCGTCCGATGGGCCACACTTTTCGGGCTTGGCAAGGCAATAGCTGGGATTAAAGGTATGAAACTGTTTCTCCTTTCATGAAGCTGTCTAGAGCACATTGGCTGTTCTACTGTGGACGATTCCTCCACAGCAATGGACAACCTTCCCTAGCTGCCCTCTCCCCCTGGTATCTCCACACATCAGTCAACCTCGGGAGACTCCAACTCCACCTCATTTGCTCCCGTTTGGGGGCTGGTACCGCTGTCGTCTTGATTGCTGCTGTCACTACCACCGTTCTTTTTGCCCTCTTCACCTGACTCTTTGCCCTCCGCTTGCTCCTGTTCCTCAGGCTTGACCGGCTTAACAGGCACCTCGACGCGCAAGAGATCCACCTCGAGGGCAGTCACGCCCTCAGGAAGCTTTGACTTGAGCCCATCCTGCTCGACGTCAAAGTAGAGAGACCAAAAGTTCCCCGTTTTCACGACACAGAATCCTTCCCAGCTGGCGAATGTGAGTCGCTTGTCTTGCCTAGTGCAATCAAACGGCCCCGTGTAGTTGTGCTGAGCGTACGGCCGGGTCCCAAACTTGACCTCGTACGTGTCACGATCCACGTAGATCCAGTTCATGATGGGCGGCTCGTCGCAAATAGTTGAGACCAGACCGGCGTATTGGCTGTCTGGGTACGGCAGGAAGTAGCCCGCAAACTGGTGTCCAAATGCGAAATCGGGATCAGTCCCGGTGTCGACAAATAGCTAAGAAAGGGAGCAAACAGCTCTCATTAGCAAATCTAGTTTGGGACTCAAGGGAACGGGACTGGGTGACTTGGATCTGAGATACCTTGTCTCCCGAGAGGACTACATGTTTCCCGTGGATATCTGGGGAGTGACATGTTGACTTGCGGCAGCGGATGATGAGGTTATTTTTCCGGCTGCGATGTTCTTTCCTCCGGGCTGACTGTTGTGTGTGTCGGATAGCTTCCGCCATGCCGAAGACCGCCGAGAAGGCGACGATGAATTGCGCTACCATGTTTGTTTGTTCTCTAATCGTCTAGGTGATGTCTCTGCTGGGTGCTTGATAGGTAGGAAAAGGGGGACAATGCAGCCCAACGGAGGATGGATTTATGCCAGTGTCTGGCAGAACTTTGCTCCCGATGTATTCCGTTCAAGCCTTTCCCCTGGAGTAAAAAGCTCACCGACCAGCAGGCATCACCCCCGAAAGCATAGATGTGCTTTCTTTTGTTGGGAGCTGCGCGGTAAATATCCCGTCGGGCAGAGAGTCCATGAGCTGTCTCTCCATTGCAGAAATCTCCACCGCCAGGTTCCTATGGCATCCTTGTCGAAAATCCCCCAGCGGCGGCGACAGCAGCAGTGCTACAGCAGCGTACGACGGCGACGTCCGGACGAAAGGAGAATTGGATGATGTTCTCCAATCTTCATATTACTCTTGTGCGACAATGTCTCACCTCATGGCCGTCGAGCAGAGGATAAAAGAGGAAGCAGATGCCCAGCTGTCATGGCCGTCTTCTTCCTCGGCAGCACCAAGATTCCTCAGTCTCATAGCAACTCGGCCTCCAGGCACTCTCGCAAAAGATCTCCTTCCGAGCAGTCTCTCGACAAGATTCCGCCGGACCAGCAGCCACCGCCTGAAAAGCCTGAGCTTCGCCAGAGACCATCGCTCAAGTTCATCCACGTACGAAGTCTGGGATCACCATCTTCTTCACGACCGTCCTCTCCTGATCGTCCGGCCTCGCCACGTCCGCCATCTTCGCTTTCGCAGTCTTCTCGCCCGTCGTCTCCTAGACCTTCGGCTCCTCGACCTTCGTCCTCTCGTCCATCCACTCCGCCTCTATTACCCCCTCCACGTCCCCGATCAACCACCACCGCAACCATGTCTTCCCCGTAAGTACAACCAACATGCCCAACAGGTCTGAACCCACGACCAATTGAATTTTCCTCCCCTTTAGAGCCAAGAACTCGGTTCCCCCGACCAGCACCACCACCTCTAACCCGTCTACCACTACCACCAGCTCCAGCAACCCCCTCAACTCGAGCACGAGCAACAGCAGCTACCCTAACAACTCTCTCAGCACCAGCAACCCCAACTCGGCTCTCAACAACACTAACAACACCAAGTCCATCAACAACAACAACACCAACAACCAGAACAGCGGCTTCGGTAACTCTCTCCCCATGCCCGGTCTCTCCGGCCCCGCCAACGGACCCATCGGTAAGGTCATCCCCTTCTCTACCCTATCGTCTTCTCTATCAATGATAGAAGCGGGCTGACACAGTACTTTGGCAGGAAACCTCCTCAAGGGTCCCGTTGACGACAACGGCAAGCTCAAGGACGCCGGCCTCATGGTCGGTATCAAGCTTGACCTTGAAGCCGAGGTTCACCTCACGGCTCGGGTCCGAGGTGACATCCTCGTTGGCCTATACTAGGCTCGCGCGCGCACAGGAGACCAAGGTCGGTGACCTGCGGGTCGAGGTCGAGGTCGTGTGTGAAATCATTAGGATGAAATGCCTGAGTGGGGACGGTGATTATATATCGGTGTGCATCGAGAGGTTGATATGGAATTTTCGGGTCGCTGGGCCAAAGGGACGTGTTGGCGGTAGCTTGACTATAACTGCAATAAATCTCGACTGAAAACTCATAATTTTGCTTCTATTAATAATGTGTCGACCCCATTCTGTGTCAATTTTCTCACCCTTGGTCGGAGGCAGGCATTGACGCATTTATGCCATGTTTCTCTGGCAGTGTTGTTGATGAAAGTTGTTGAGAGGACCTTATCTCGAGACTTTCGAAAGTTATCCAGAGTCAACCTAACTTAATCGAATTAGACCTCATACTACAGTATCGAACGAATTCTAGAACATGGCTGGAGAACTAATAAGCGCGCACACTCAGAAGCGTCAGCTGACGTTCAGTAGAGGTTCTTTCGGCGGTTTTTGACTGCAAGTGATCCCATCTTATCTTGCCCAGCTTTACCTCTTTAAGCCTGGGTTGGCGGGTAGGTCTCGTGGTCCTGTCGAAAGTCTCATTTTAGTCAGCGAGGTGTCTCAAATGGGATGTCACTTGAGCGGCTCAGAAGCGAAATGTGACGACCTGAAGCTTTGGAGACGTGGGGTTACACCGAAAGCGGCGTCCGCATGGCTGGCACATGGCCCTAAGGTAGCCTTCAACTAGCAGCTGAGGCTCCAACACCTCCACCGTTCTCTGTGTCAGAGAACCGCTCTTCGCTCATTCATCATCTACGACAAACTTCAAATCAATCAGTCTCTCGAGAATATCACAACCGAAAAGATGACTGTCGTTCTGGCCTTCGCAGTCGTAGTCTTTTTCGGACTGTTGGTGAAGGAATTCTACTCTTGGTATCGGCTATCTCATGTCCCTGGTCCGTTCTGGCATGGAATCACTGGATTTTCTATGGCACGAGCAGCGTTAAATGGGTCAGTTCATGAGTACTACATGGAACTGCATGAGAAGTACGGTATGGGCGCTTCCGATCTCGACCTTGATGCGGCGGACAAGTTGACCCAAAATTCAAGGCCCCTTAGTTCGTATCGGACCTAATACCGTCATGTTCAGCGATGGCGACACGCTGAAAAAGATCGCCAGCACTCGCAGTAAGTACACCAAGGGCGAGTGGTACGCAGTTGGGCGAACCACTCCGGGAGAGGATCACTTGTTCTCGATGCGCGATGAGGAGAAGCGCAAGTATTTGAAGAGCAAAATGGGACCTGGTGTAAGTTCTGCTCTACTTAGTGTGGGTCATAACCTTTCTGCTGACCGAAAACTGCAGTATTCGGGCTTGGAGAATGGAGGGTTTGAAGCCGGTATAGATAAGAATATCGCGGCCTTCGTTGACCTCATTGATCGCAAGTACATCTCCACCGCAAAGGACTTCAGACCAATGGATATGGCCAGTAAATCAACTTACTTTGCCCTTGATGTCATCAGCGAGCTTGGCTTCGGCACCCCATACGGCTTCCTCAGAGAAGATCGAGATCTGTATCAGTATGTTGCCACGAAAGACGCCTTCTTTCCGGTCATGATCACTATAGGAAACGTGCCGTGGTTGGCTACGCTTCTGCACAGTTGGCCTCTCAATCTGGGGCTGCCAAAGTCTGGAGATTCAGCTGGATTTGGGGCGCTTATGGGGTGAGTGGATGTTGAATACCCAAAGCATGCGAGTAAGTGAGACGACTGACATGCATGGGTCAGTTTTGCCAAAACCTTTGTTGATGGGCGACTGGCTCCGGATACGAAGCCCGGCCGGGACATGATTCAGTCATTTATCAATGCTGGTCTGACGAGAGAAGAGCTTACGCAGGAAGTTTACGTTGAAACGTGAGTGCCTTCTTCGGCTTAAGGATTTGGACTCAAAAGTTGACCTTCCACAGCATTGCTGGTTCCGACACCACAGCAACGGCGATTCGTATGATTCTCTTGTCACTCCTATCCAATCCTCAAGCCTTTACAGCCCTCCGAGCCGAGATTGACACTCTCATCTCCAAGAAGATGATTGGTTCTCCCATCAAAGGTTCGGAAGCGAGGTTTATGCCATATCTTCAAGCTGTGATACGCGAAGGTCTTCGTCTATACCCACCATCTACCGGCATTGTCAGCAAGCAGGTCCCATCAGAAGGGGACATCATTCATGGATATCGATTGCCCTCAGGGACGCAGCTGGGAGAGAACGTGTGCAGCATCGGCCGATCGAAAGATATTTTCGGACCGGATGCACATCTCTTCAGGCCAGAGAGGTGGATAGAGGCAGCAACTTCTGATGACGAAGGAAGGTACAAGGCGATGATATCAACTACCGATTTGGTCTTTGGACATGGCAAGTTTTACTGCATGGGAAGGAACATCGCATTGATGGAGTTGAACAAGGTCTTTGTCGAGGTAAACTCCTGTGGTCTTTCTATTGAATCAAAGCTTTACTGACGTGATTCATCCGCAGCTTCTACGTAGATACGATTTTGCTATTGCGAAGCCTGAAAAGCCTATGAAATTGTGGAGTGCAGGATTTTGGATAACACATGACTTTTGGTTGAGGATCACGCAGAGAGGACGGCGGTAGCAACACTGCGGGAATTCAAATTCCTATCTTCTAGTCATATCTTACCTAAGACCTGGAGTATGGGGGGGTTATCGTGAAACCATATCAGTAGGATGATGCAAAATTCCAGCTTGCTTGAATTCGCATAGATCCCGACATGTATATCTTATTGGGATTGTGGACAGGAGTTGCTGGTGCGAAACTTACAACCAATCCGTGGAAATCGCGGAAACCGTGACGGAAGTTAAAGGGTCACATCGTCTACAAACAAAATATTCAGAAAGGAAGGGCCTGTGCACTACAGTCTTGGTGTTCGACTCGAGTACTCCGTACTCCGCGGCCATCAGGACTCGCACTTACGGCAAGCCACTCATGTGGCTTCAGTTCTATGTGCGAGACCGGATCCAGATTCGAACCTTCTCAGTTGCTTGTCAAGGGATTCAGCCATTTCCAAAGTTCTGACGTGAGACATTGGACTGGCGGCTGGGCTCTGACCGTGGTCCATCAAGCCAATCAATCCTACGCAATTACTGATTTCAACTGGTTCCTTAGTCCATAGCAGCCCCGTAATCGAACTAGTGCGATCCCTGCTTTGTGGAGTAACTAAATGCAGCTTTCGTGTAGACGTTCCAGTGGGATTTTAATGAACATCCTCGATGCCCGACAGGGTTCTGAATGCTGACAGCCGACTGCCGAACCTCCAATACGATTACGAATGGCCCCTTGAAGGATCTGCGACAGGTCAACGCTTTTGATGATATATGACCCCGATTGTCCCTATCGACTTTCCAGTGCTTCTCATTCTCTTCGCGACTGATCTTACTGCTAGAAAATTGCAAAATGGAGCTCCCTGCGCTGGCCGGCACAGTCTTCGCGGTTGTTGTTATCGGCTGTTACTTGCTGGAGTCTTTCTTCTTCCTGTCCAAAAATCCTCAAGAGCCAGAGTACATCCGGCCTCGCGTACCATTGATCGGGCATCTTCTCGGTCTGAACAAGTACGGTTCTGGCAACTACTTTACCAAAGTTGGGTAAGATCCCGCTTGCTCGATCTCAACATTGGATGATCTTCAGGCTGACATGATACGACAGGGCCGACGCCAAGTCAAAGATCTTTTCTGCACCCATCTTCTCCTTCAAATTCTACATTATCGCAGAACGCAAATTCATCTCGTCGATCCAGCGCAATGCTAGGACAATCTCTTTTGCGCCCTTTGCAGCCAAGGCAGCACACAACTTTAGCGGTGCCGATGAGAAGGCCACCAACTTGCAAGATCACCTCGGAGGTGGCCCCGAGGCTAAGGAATTCGATAGAGTCCAGCGCACGACGTTGGCAGCTGGTCCCGAGCTTGATGACATGAGCCTTGTTGCAACGCAGGTGAAACTCGAAATTGTTGACAAATTAGCCGCAAGTGCCCTCGAATCATCAGAAACAGGCGTTCCGATCGATCTGTTTGCCTGGGTGAAGCACACCGTCGGGCTGTCAGCTACGGAAGGGATGTTCGGTCCTCTGAACCCCTTCAAGAACCCTGATCATGAGGCTGACTTCTGGTACGTACTTTCTTATAGCCCTTGCCGGCTTCGTGTGAAGAGACTTAGTTCGAGACGAGAAGCTGACCATCTATAGGACCTTCGCTGATAAGGCACACTTGCTTCTTCCGGGAGGTATCATTGCAGAGTTATTTGCTAAAAAGGCAATGCAAGCGCGTGAACGTAACGGTCTACGGTACGAAGAATACGTTCGCCTCGGGGGCACAGAGACAGCCTCAGGTCTTCTCAAGGGTCGATCACGGATTATGGCAGAAAACGGAGTATCGCCGCGCGATATTGGGCGTATCAATATTGGCTTTGACATTGCTATGCTGGCCAACTACGTGCCAACAACATGGTGGTCCGTCTTTGAGGTTTTCTCTCGCCCGTGGCTTGTTGACGCAATCCGCGAAGAAGTACGCAAAGCTGTCAAGAAAGATGAAAACGGCGAGTTTTGCTTGGACATCTCTATCATCAAGTCAGCATGTCCGCTACTCCTCTCCTCGATTCAGGAGGCGCAGCGCTTGCATACTATCCACGCACACATTCGAGAAGTTCTTCGCGACACGACTATCACGGTCGACGATAAGACCCAGCTTCTCAAAAGCGGCAACTATGTGCAGATCAACGGCATTCCCATCCTCCGTAATGAGGAAACATGGGGCGCAGACGCTACCTCCTTCGATGCCTATCGATTCATCAAGATGAAGAAGAAGCCCAATGCGCCAGGCGTAGCCGCCCCAGGAGACTTGGCACCTCACTCCTTTCCCATCTGGGGCGTGGCTCCTCATGTCTGTCCTGCACGATGGTTTGCGACTACCGGCACCATGACACTAATTGCGTTGATGACTTTGAAACTCGACTTTGAAATTGCGCCAGATTTCAAGGGCGAAGGCCCATCTGGAAGGGAGTGGAGAATGCCCAAGGTTGAAGGTCTCTTTGTGGCACTGCATTCTCCTGCGGAGCCGATCCCTATCACAGTACGATCGAGGAAAGAGTTTGAAGGCAAGTGGAGAGTTGAGACTGGCACACCAGGGACAAGGCTACAGTTATCGGTAGGCTAAAGCCCAAAGAAGCCATAAATAACAATTGGTCTCTAAGGAAATTGTAACCAAGCTTGCGGTCTCAAGTCAAGACATGATGCGTTAAGTAACTTCCTTCGGCAGTTCTTGTTGTGTGATCCAGAAAGATGTGGTAAAGCCTCAGGTAACATCGGTTCTTCCCTGCTCAAAGAACCCCTAAAGCCTGCTGTTGAGCTCTTCAATGATATCGGGAAACAAGGCTAAGTCATTCGGAACCCCGTAAGCCCGGACGGAAGACAACAGTTTGAGACTTGAAGACAGAATCTAACAAGTTTAGGCTCTTCTGGACACAACTTTGAATTTAAACTACATATATACAAGAGATGCTACATGGTGCATGTTGTAGTTGTATCGTGCCGGTGTCAAAGTCAATTAAGTGCGCAAAAGCGAACAGCTTAGGCGCGGTAGTTGTTCCAGAAGCTCAGCATGCGGGTCTGCTGGCCAGGGGTGAACTCCTCGTAGCAAGAGCTGTTTCATACGTCAGCAAGAAGCTTTAGTGAATTCAAGCGGGGTAGTAACTTACTCGTAGGAGTAGTCCATGTAGTTGTGGATGGGGTCGAGGCCGGCGATGCTGGGGCAAGAGTCACGGCCGACAGGGCATCCGGAAGAAGAGCTAGCCTGGGCAGGGGTATCGGCAACGGAGTCTCCACCGTTGCAGCCGCCCTGGAAGGTGTGGTACAGACCGAACCAGTGACCGATCTCGTGGGTGGCAGTCTTTCCGAGGTTGAAGTTGGTCTCGCTTCCGCCGGGAACAGTCGAGGACAGGATGGTGCAGCCGTCGGCGATGAAAGCAGAGGAGCCGGGGGAGGCAGTGGTGGGGAACGTGCAGATTCCGAAAGCACCTCCGACGCTCTTGAGGAAGTACAGGTTGAGACTGCCATAGTCACCCTTGCGGAGGGCAGTCTTCATGGCGGTCTGGCTGCTGTAGCCGGCCCAGGCGGAGTTAATGGTACGGGTGGTCTCGACCAGGTTGAACTGGATGCCGTGGGGGGCAAAGTTGGAGTTCATCACGGCCAACTGGTCGGTGACCATCTTGTCCTACATCCATATGCCATGTAAATGACTCTTCTAGTTACACTGACTTTTGAATACGCTCAAGGTGGAGCTAAGAAAGGAAAATATGAAGCTAGGAGAGCTTACGGTGATGTATCCATTGGCCACAGTCTGAGAGGAGGCCACGATGTGGAAGTAAGTAGGAACGGTGATGGTGGCCAGAGCTGCCAGGCTGACAGTACCGTTGTTGGCGGCCTCCTCCTCGGCAAGCTTCTTGGAGATCTCAAAGTGCTCGGCGGACGGCTCCTCAGTGGCACAGCCGAATCTAATGGCGGGGGTCACCGCAGCAGAAACGGAGGCGGCAAGAGCCGCGACGAGGGCAAGGTTAAAATGCATGGTGACGAGAGTGAGCCGGGGACCGGGAAGCGAACAAGCGACTTGGATAGGAGTTGCGAGACTGAGAGGGATGTCGAGCTAAGAAGGGGAACCTTGATGGCAAGAGATCTGGGCTATATATACTCGATCATCTGTCTCTCTTGATGAAGGTCATCTCGTCGTTGTTTGGCTTCTATTCTCGGGCCTCTGGAGGTTGCCCGGTAAGTTGCAGCGAGCTGAATTGGCTTGGAACGATGCCCTAACAGGAAGCCCATTGACCACTGTATCCCAAAAGTAAAAAGGCGCATCAGCTGATAGAAGGAAACCGGAAACGAGCCCGAGACTTGTCTTTCCATTTCTTCATACGCCTTCCTCATCTGGCTGATACCAAGACTCAGTTGCAGCTGAGGTTGAGTCGGGGTCTTCGAAAAAGCACCCGTGGAAACCGCGGGGTTCGATATCTGCCACCTTCTATGTTCTGTGGTCAAGTTAGTGTTGTTGATAGCCAAGCGAGAGAGAGAGAGAGAGAGAGAGAGAGAGAGAGAGAGAGAGAGAGAGAGAGAGAGAGAGTCAGATTAGTGTGGGGACTTGTCCTATGGCCCGGCAGAGGTTCTCTCCCTGCATGAAGCGATCAGGCCGAGGGGAACAATACGCTCGTCGTAATACGGTCGGGCGCCGGCTTCGACCGATAAGCTTAAATTGATCTGTTGATCAACCTGACCTTAATGAGGGGCCGGGCGGAAGACGTGGGATGAGTCTTGGTGTTGGTCGAATGGCGGACAAGCTTCACAACTGGCGCTAGCGGTGTGTGGTTGCACTGTATTAATTCAACTGCTTGTTACTGCTAGTATGCCAAGCGCTGCCAAGACGGCCTTTCGTCCAACTGTAGAAGCACGATAGAACCTGCCTATTTAAGCAATAACTTGGTAACACTGATGACTGAGACTGCTTCTTTCATTATCGGCCATTGGTGCAGGGAATGGCACGAAAACTAATGTCTCGGGGCAACTTTGAGGGTATTGATTTCCGCGTATCAGGCTGAAGCAAGGCAAATGCTTCCACCTGAAAAGGAGCTGCTTGCAGGAAGATAAAAAGGACTTGGTTTCCCATGTTCCATATTGACTCGTAGGAGAAATCGACGCCCCAGCAGGTGTCTCTTTCGAGTATGTGGTGTACCGGCCAAACAAGGTTGGAAGACATGCAATACGATAGAATTGATTACCGTAGATAGTTGAGGCATCGTAAATCCTCATTGGCTCTTCAATCTGTGGCGTTTGATAGTATACTTGGTATGAACTTCAGACTAACGCAGCATTTGATATTATACCTTGCGCTCGCGACTTGAGGTTATTATGTGTGCAACTGAGTTATCGCCATGTCGCTTCGTTAAGTCGTCACATTGCTGGGTCCGCAAAGATTGTGGTACAGGTCTCGCCTACAAGATGCTGCCACAGTGACATAAACTCTGACTGCCCGGCTTGGTACCCATTTAACCTTCATGATCTGGCATTCATGTTCCTTAATTCGTGATATTGTCCTCTATGATTAGCTTGGGGGCACCCATCCTAGCTCCTCCATTGGCCACTGGATCCAAGGCTTATGGCTCTCATCTAGCAACTCCCACGCCTGTGATATTAGATGAATCGACCAGCCCTGAAGCCACCATTGACTCTCTAATCTCTTCAGCACCACACAAAAGTGGGCATAAATAACGATGGCCTCTTGATTTGCTCTCGGCTCTTTAAGCAGAGGCAGAAATTCATCCGAGACGAAGTATTTCCAGATGAACATGTCCATGATGTCCATACCACGGCCTCCACTGTGCAGAGCAAGAGAAAGAGGGTGACCTAATTCGTCGATAGCCAAATTGTGGATGCGCAGCAACTCCTTGTCGATATTGCTACCACTGACGCGCTTTCGCAGACTTTCCAAGGCGGCTGGTCGAGCTCGGGAGTCATCACGCGCAGTAAAGAATCGTTCTTTTGCGTATGTCAACAGAGGGGTCAAGGGACCCTCGTAATTCTTCGAATTGAGGAGTTTGATGAGAGAACAGGCTCCGGATAGAAGAAAGGTCCAGTCCGGGAACGCGGACTCCCAAACAACCACTGATTCCTTCAGATAGCGTCCCGACGCCAGAGCTGAATTTTGTAAGCCAGTGTGCTGCCTATGCAGGCGTAATCTTGGAGTGCTAGAGTGGTGTGAAAGGCAAGAAAAACGAGGTGCAACGACTTCATTTCATTATCCAAGTATGGAGTGGTCACTCACCGAAAAATATTGTAAGGAGTGAAAACAAGAATAAGTTCTCGGCATTTCGTTCATCAAGAGCACTCATCAACTCCATTGCTTCTCTCGAGGCTGATCGATGATAAAGCAGGGCCTTAGCCACGAGAGCCTCCTTTCGTTCTGGCTGCTGGTGGGCTAGATGTAGAGCCGATATGGAGAGCAAAGTTCGCATCACATATTCGCATTTCAGCGCCATGCGCACTACCGAGACTCGCCACATCTGGCGGACGAGGTCATCTGTTGATAGAGTCATGTACACAGAGGTAGTGAAGTTGTGGATCAACTCCAAGTCGACAAAGTTGAGGGCTTGGTCGATAGCCGGCGCCGGCCTGGTAGATGTCGCTGAGTCGTCTGCATTTCTGGCGTCCAGGCTTGTTTGCAAGGTGATTTGTATGCTGCGCATGGATATCGCCATCGAGCGACTTTGCAGGAAGTCGCACGTCACCAGGTGACGCACGCAGTTTTGACATGCTGGCTTCAATTCATCACACTATGGGAAGCCAAAGTCAGCAGGTAAATCAGAGTAAAGTAGGTGCGTGAATCGTTCAAATTATGCAAATTCGGCCAAGGGGTCGTGGTGTATGGACGGTCTTGAGCTCGGTAGGGCCCAAGGATCCATCACTGAAAGAAGAGGTGGCGTACAGGTGGCAGTATAATATCAGACGAACCTTGATTTTACGTCTCTTGCAAGTATGGCATCCAAGTTTGGACTTTCTGTGTGGTTTCTTCGAAATTTTGGCTGCAGTCCTCCGCTCCGGAAGAACCTCCATCGCGTCCGATGCTCCTTGACACTTCCGTGCCGGATATGTCACCGATTCTTATCCGAAGTCGCGATCGAACCCCTGGAGGCTGCTGTGTGCTATTGCCGGAAAGAGAGGGAGATCTACCGGCAGCAGACACACCCACTCAACAAATCTTCTACAGATCTCGAGTTTATGATCCAAGATTAGCGGGAAGTCGGAAGGGCGGGACGTTCTAAGATTCCGAGCCTACGTTCGCTGATGCTGACGTTGGCGCCGGTCGAAGAAATATGTGGACGGCGTTTAAAGCCGATGGAGCTCCGCAAGGCAGTGCTCGTATCGCTCGCTTAGCAACCAAGACTTCGGAAACCAAGCCGAATGCGGAGTTGTACCACTTAGCACATCGAGACTAATACCTTCACTGAGACTATAAGAGTAGAACTAAAATATGATAATCCCAATCTGGCATACAATGATAGTTAGTTGTGAAATGTGGTCTATAGATTCACTCGTTTTGAATTCTCTAGACAATTCTGGCTATGATCTATCAAGCTGAGGCTGTGAATATTCCTTTCTGTCAAGTATCCTCACTAAGGTAACACGAAGGTACGTAGGTAGTCCATATGATTGTCCGAGGTACGGCCCACGATTTCACACGTCAATGCAAGCGCTTTACTCCGTACGTTCCTTTGTCTTGATTATTACCAAAGCTTTAAATCTCGACGATTACTGTCAAGTTCACTATATATTCATCACGGCTGAACTCGTGTATATTTCGGAGAGACTGTCCCATTCCCGGGCACCTTTGTTTTGTCACACAGCCTTGAGAACCTAGGTAGACCGAAGTAGCGTTGTCTACACTCCTAGTAGTCCGCATGAAAATAAGACGAACACTAAATGGAGGTGCTGGCAAGTCTTCGTGTAGGCTTTCGGCTAGAAGACTCGCAGCAGCCTGGAAGATTCACATGGCGCATGATCCCCAAAGACTAAGTGAGTTGAAAATCCAGTAAAATCGAAATGATCGAACCAAAGCCTCTGTTGACGAAAGTCAAATTGCTAGCGCAGCACTCTAAGTGTATAATACCCTGATGCGAGTCCCTAAAGATGAGAGTATCAAATTACGAGTGCGCAACGAGGGGTTGCGGATGCAAGCCGCATAGCCGCCCGGTACTGCCCCGTGCCGCTCGCCAAATGCTATTCCATGCAGCCAGTCCCTGTCACCAGACGTGCCAGGGTCGAGATGCACATTCAAGAGCACGTTCACAACCAACATGTATCGGTTGTTCGTCAGGAGGAGGGGTAAATTGACGGGCGACTCTCGATGGGGGTAAATCACCGAGGTCAGAAAGTGCAGTGATGATCTGATGCGACATGCTTGTTGACTCCTATATCTTCGGCGCAACGCCCCCACTACACTCATGAGGCTCACGCCCTCAGCATCCCAGAGGCTTGCGATATTCAGTTCTTCAGCGGTTCGGCACAGCCATGGCAGTTAACAACGATGATATACTCGCGGCAGATGAGGTGGGATATTCTGTCAAAATCCAGCTATCTATACCAATACTAATCATCCGTCTCCTTTACAGAATGTCATCGACAATTCCTCAGTGAGCCATGTAAGCCAGCGTCCATGTCTATTTTCTCATACGCATGTTTGTCACGCAACTAATTCATGATCAAACAGCAAAGTCTCGCTTCGTCTACGACGAGCGTAGCCAGCTCAGTTCTTGAGTATCGCATTGAGAACGGGCGAACATATCATAAGTACAAGGATGGAAGTAAGTTCCTGGACATGCCAGATTTCATTCGGGAGCATCACTCATAAGATCAGAGTACAACCTACCGAATGACGAGAAAGAAATCGATCGACTCGGTAAGGGTCTCCCTCAAAGCAGCACATTCAGGCCATGGGCTAGTTACTAATTAGACGCGATTCGAGGATACAGATCTGCAGCACAACCTGTTCATCCGGACCTTCGATGACAGACTAGGAACCGCGCCACCCAACGCCCGAGACTCTAAGGTCAGGAGGGTCTTGGATGTGGGCACTGGCTCGGGTATTTGGGCAATCGACTTTGGCGATGAGCATCCTGATGCCGAGGTGAGTCGTAGACTGGGTCGCCGAACAAGATCTTACAAGCAATAACCGCTCAATGCGCAGGTTATTGGCGTAGACCTATCGGCTGTTCAGCCAACATTGTAAGAATTTCCCCCAATTCCATACTAAGTTGGTGTCATATTTCTAATGCTAACACTGACCTTGCACTATAGCGTGCCGCCAAATGTGCAGTTCCAGGTCGAAGATATCGAAGAGGACTGGCACTTCTCGCACCCCTTTGACTACATCCACAGCCGGATGATGACGGGCAGCATCGCAGACTGGAAGATCTATCTCCGCCGGTGCTTCGAGTGAGTTCCGCCCACATCGTCTCTCCTAGAATCACGCACAAAGCATCTCGGCCGTCTAATACGCATGACTCTCACAGCAACCTGAACCCAGGAGGTTACCTCGAGCTCAACGACATCGATGCAATCCCCCTCTCCGACGACGGCACCCTCACCGAGGAATGTACCCTCGAAAAGAGCTTCCGCCTCTGGTCCGAAGCCATCACGGCCCTCGGGTCCCCGTTTGAGAAGTTCAACCGCCTAGAAGGCGTCTTGGCCGAGGTCGGGTTCAAGGACGTTCACGTTGAGAGGTTCAAGTGGCCGACGAATAGCTGGCCGAAGGACCCCAAGTTTAAGGAGCTGGGGATCTGGAATCATGAGAATCTTGCACCGCACTTGGAGGGCATGTTCATGGCTGGGATTACCCGCGGGTTGAAGTGGACTGAGCAGGAAGTTCATAAACTTGCTGTCGAGGCGCGAAAGGACTTCGACGATCCGAGCATACACGCTTATTTCCAGCTGTAAGTGAGCCTGCTTGATAGCGTGATAGTTGTGTGGCTAACTTTGATAGCTGGTCTATCTATGGGAAGAAGCCCGCAAAGGCTTGAGGATTCAACTTACAATGGGCAAGAAGTCTGATTTCTCTACGGGTGTTGGACATAAAACGTGGATTTCAACTTAAGATAAATTTCTTGGACCTTGAATTGTTCTCTCTCCTGGCGTGCGGGGCGGTGAGTTTGGAGACCAAGCAGGCTTCGATTTCCTTCTGCTCAACATAGCTAGCCACCATCGCAGCCTTGGTGTGCGGCCTTTCTAACAAGGTACTGGAATCTACGCCGCATAGGCGCATACTCGTATGCAGTTGTTTCCCAGTTGCAGGGGTGGATATGCACAACCACGACCAACCAAGGGGTGACATCAAACATTACATTTTCTTGTCGACCTTAGCGAGAAGAGGGGTAGCAATGGCGAGCAGATATTACATGCTACCTTGCCGAATGAACCGATACTCACCCGCTCCCGCTTCTTCAGTGGAACCTCTTCCCACTTCCTCGCTGGAGCCCCACGAATTTCTTCAACGCATAACAAAAGCACTCTTATCTCTAGATTCCATTACGCCATCCCACTGCTAGATCCATAAGTCAAACCATGCAAACACCGAATGAGGAACATCTGGCGGCCGATGAGGTACGATTTCCCGTGAACTTTCAAGGCCTCGGAAAGGTGTAGAGTTTTCATATACTGAGACTGCATTCTCTTCCAGACTGACACCGATGGCTCATCGGTGAGCATTGTAAGCAACTACGACGCCTCGCTACTTACTCCTCAGCAACGTCCATCGTGAACTCATCTATCCCCCAACAGTCAAGCCTGGCTTCGTCTACAACAAGTGTGACTAGCTCCATTCTGGAATACCGTATCGAAAACGGACGTACCTACCACAAGTACAAGGATGGCAGTGAGTTTAAAGTCTCCGCATTAAATGGAACAACCGGACAATATGTTTATGATCTTATCAGAGTACGCCGCCCCTAACGACGAGAGGGAAAATAATCGCCTTGGTAGGTTACCTGTTCCTTAGACTGATGCTGTGATGTTTGCCTCCAGTTTGACGAGAAGAAGACTGATACGAACGCATCAGACCTTCAACATAACTTGTTTATCCGGACTTTTGATGATCGACTCGGTACAGCGCCACCAAACGATCGAGACGCAAATGTCGGCAGAGTGCTCGACATCGGCACTGGATCCGGAATCTGGGCCATTGACTTTGGCGACGAACACCCTGAATCCGAGGTATGAGGACTTCTCTCACTAGTATTAGTAGCTGAATTCAAGCAAGCTGAAATTTTTCATCAGGTCATTGGTGTTGATCTGTCGGCTATACAGCCCTTATTGTAGGAAGAAGACTGCTTCCTCTAAGTGAAGCTCTCAGCTGACGAAGTGTAAACCAGTGTACCACCAAACGTTCAGTTTGAAATTGACGATATTGAGGAGCCGTGGCTGTTCTCAAGGCCTTTCGGTTACATCCACAGCCGCATGATGACGGGCAGCATCAGAAACTGGAAACAATTTCTCCAGAGCTGTTTCGAGTGAGCCCCCCACGTCTTTCTCGGCACTGACCATTGTGAACGCTGAAAAAATGGTTTTAGTAACCTCAACCCCGGCGGCTACCTTGAGCTCAACGACATCGACGCCGTTCCCGTATCAGACGACGGAACCCTCACGGAGGATACCTCGCTGATGAAGAGCGTTCGTCTCTGTTGCGAAGCGATTGCCAAGTTGGGGGTCCCCTATGAGCAATTCAGCCGGTTCGAGGGCGTTCTCAAGGAGATTGGCTTCGAAGACGTCCACATCCAGCGATTCAAATGGCCCACCAACAGTTGGCCCAAGGATAAGAAGCACAAGGAGATTGGGATCTGGAACCATGAAAACTTTGCCCCTAATTGGGAGGGCTTCCTGATGGCGCCGCTGACCCGGGCCCTGGACTGGACGAAAGAAGAGGTCATCATCCTCGCCATGGAGGCTCGGAAAGACTTTGCGAACAAAAACATCCATGCCTACTACAACATGTGAGTGATTTCTATCGCCTGGCTTATCATTGAGCTAACTTGAGTAGTTGGTCTATCCATGGAAGGAAGCCAATGACGCCATCTGTCGAATAAGTCCCGAAGGTGGACGCGACTGTCGGCATCGTAGCGGAAGGGAAATGGCGGTGACTTTGAACCGGTTGGAGGTGACAAAGGTCTATGGACTGAGATTCGGTGACTTAAATTAGGTGGAAGAGGGCGTTGAAGTTAGGGACTAGATTTGAGTCGCCGTTTACTTGAAACAATGAGCCGGGTTTATCTTGCTTAGGGGCCCAAATAAGCGTTCATTCCGACAGAAACACGCCCGTTGAACCTTGATGCCATTCTTGTATTCGAATCAGGGATTATACGTAGCCCCTTCAAGTACAGCAACTGTAAAAAAAACCTTTATCAAGACTCGTGTTGGATTCGTGTTTTTCAGCTAGACATATGACCCATCAACGAATCCTCTACCATAGAGCAAAATATCCTCAAACGGATTACTCGCCCTCAAAACCCGTCTCCTTGGACTCCCTCGATCAACACAACTAACATACCCTGCCGAAGTCTCATTAAACCTCTGCCTCCCCCTCGCAACAACCCGGAACTCGGGCACCAACGGCCCCAACCTTTTCAGTTGCCCTCCGCCCTCCTGTGCTTCAACTTCCACCCCGTCCTCCCAAGCCCAGAACCCGTCCTCGGCGTCGCAAGGGAAATTAATCGTCAGCCGCGCCGCGATGGAGGCCGGCACGCAGTTGTACAGCTCGCGGAACTCGGGCAGTAGGCGGCGCGTGACGGGGCATTCGGCGTCGAGCCAGAGGTAGATGCTCTCGGCGGCGCACGAGTCCTGCTCGGAAAGTATGTGCCACATAGAGGCGCCGTTGAGGTAGAGGAAATTGCCGCTGTCGTGGCGGAGGGAGATGTTGAGGCGGCGGGCTTGGTGGAGATATTTGGGGCGGGGCCACCGGAGGATGCGGTGGAGGGTTTGACCGTCGGTGATTGTTAGGGTTTTGGCTTCTCTGAAGGATTCTATGCTTTCGTTGTATCTGATGGGAGTCCATGGTTAGTGAGCTGCTTGTCGGAGTAGGGCGAGGGTAGGTAACTCACATCCGCTTACAGGACAGAAGAAGAGCCATGTAGGCTTGCTGCTTGTTCCCGTCCACTTCGCGTCCGTTTCGTATATCCTCCCATAACCTCTCGCATTTCCAGTGATTACACCAGGGAGATGTCATCCTTTTGAACCATTTCGGATGTGGCTGAACCTCCGCTGTGGATGAAGATTTTCCGAAATCTTTGGCGACCCCGATCTGACGCTCATCAGGCGCCTCGTGATCTGTGATGCAGGGAGAGAACAAAAGTTTCCTGTTTCGTAGAAAAGCATGCCGTTCGACCCCGGCCGAGATCCAGAAATGTCTGTAAATCTGATGCCGGATTTCGGGGGGCAGCTGCCGAAAGAAGGTCGACTGGCCCTGGTGATGCTCTTTTCTCGGTGCTTTCGAACTCGCTTGTTGCGTTAACTCTTCGTCGACGGGGTTTTCGCTCATCTTATTTCCATCGCTGCTAACTTCTTCCTCGATAGGCTCCTCTGTGATGGGCCGGTCCAAGGTCATATGATCCTCCTCTACAGTTTTTGTCGTGAACAGAGATGATGTTGAGAAAGATGACCTGAACGATGATCTGCTGGCCAAAGATCTTCCGCTGGTGCTTGACTTGTCGTCGGGCCGTGGCTTTTCTCTCATTGACGCTTTTTTGAGAACCCGCAAGCACTTCTTAGAGGCTCTATGCAATAGACTTGGCTGGTCCATAGCCTCGTCAAGACTCGTGACCTTGGTTTCGAGCGTCATGTTGGTGGTGTGCCTAACAGTGTGGAGTCGAGGGATCGAGAGAAGCCGAAGAGTTGACGTTTTTGAAAGGGTCTTGATCCTCCACAAGAAGGTGCGAAGAGACCCAAGAAGAGAACACGAGGGCAGACAAAGCGAGGATACCTCCAGGGGGCTGAAGAGGGAAGCCAGACCACATATAGATGGGTTGTTTGCTTCGCAGTGTCTCGGAAAGCTACTTGCACCCTCGAGGCAAGCCGTATGCAACCAATCAAGGCTGTGGAATGTTCAACCGTCCCGGTAACTTGGTAAAGAAGGCTTCGACCTCGCCCAACCAGAGTTGCAGTTCTGGAAATCCGAGCAAACTTGACAGGGTTGTTGCGGAGAGGGAAAAGGAACAAACCCGCCTTGCTCGTCACCCATAGATCATGGCACGCCCGCCCGCTTGCTCATCCCTTCCCCCTCCATAAAGAAAGATGCGCAGATTCGTACATAAAAAGCAAGGATAATCAAAGATTGCCTAGGCCTCATTCAAAGAAAGAGCCCACCCTCTTCGTGTACCGGGCCCTCCCTTGAGTTGGGGTTGGACTGGCTGAGTGCGGCGAATGCGATAATGCGGCACATGGGCCCCATCTTGTCCCATATTGGGGAGCTCGTCTCCAAAGACCCAAGTTCCAACACAGGAAAAAGGGAAAAATTCTTACAACCAACGAACCAAGTAGCCCAACCAGATCCAAACAGAATTGGTACCCAAAAGGAGAGTCTCCGCCGTCTGCCGCACACTCGTTTCCATACGCACATAAGGCACATCGAAACCGTGCAGCTGCCACCTCGCTGCAGGCGCTGTCACAGCGATAGGATCGCGTACCTTGCTAACGAAAGGGGGCGAGTTGGCGCGGAAATCATTGTGGATCGCTTCCCGCGGTGAGACAAAGATCATCGGTTGTGTTGGCTTCGACTCTCTAGTTCTTGAGGCTTGACGACCGTGACGACTTGGTCAACTCGCGAACTCATGGTTGGTGTCACCACGAAGTCGGGGACGAGACCGTACCCCTCCAAGCCCACAAATCGCGCCCACTTATAAGCAAGGTCAAGGTCACCCGTGGCTTCTTTTGTCGAAACTTTGAGCATTGGAATAGCTGTGAGTCGGTAGATATCATCATAGTTCAAAAGGTGGCCAGGACTGTCGAACCGACTGAGTTAGTGACGATGGTCGGCGAATGTGACATTCTTGCCCAGGAATGAGGCGTCGAAAAAGGCAAGAAATGTCTTGGTTCGGCCTATGTGATCCCGCGCCTCGTGAGCGTGACACAGCTGTGTGTGTGTGTCTCGCGGATAGAAATCGCATGGTTTCCCGCCCTCGACATTCCTGGATCTAATCGAGTTCAAAGGGAAACGGTCTTGCGTGCAGCTGCAATTTGGAAGCCAATATCTCTGGTGAGATCACGCCCGTTGCATGTCCAGGCTGCATAGCGTCAAGCTGTCATTGCCGCCTCGCCGTTGGCACATGCGGATACAAAGAGGTGCGAATACACTAGAGTAGGTAGTTGAGGAGGAGCCGCCGCAAGACCGTTGAAAGGCTCGGCTCTGCCCATGGCGACCTTGAAGGCGCTCGAGACAATCGACTATTGGCCCGGCTCCCGTCGACGGCGTTCTTTTCTCCTCACTATGGGTGGACTTCCCATGTTCTCTCGATGCAACCACATCGTGTGGGCCATTCGATACGGCGGACACTCTCTGTGGCCTTGGCCTCCTAGGGACCTAGGCATGAGCTGCCTTACCCCGGGGAACTGGGGGAGGGCCGCCCGGTCGACGGGCTGCCCGATGTGGTGAAGTGCAGGGCATCGAGGCTTATCCTTGACGATAGCTCCGCCTAGCCGCGTCGGCCACTAGGGGCAGAAAGCGCCCAGAGAATTGAATGGGTCGAGACGGCCCAACGACCCGTGCATTGGTTTGCTGTAAGTTGGCGATGGGCAGGCCGTATTGAGTGCTTGTTGGAAGTCTGCATGTTGGAAAGGGCCAAGTCTCGGTTTATGGTTAGTCTGCCCTTCTTCAGGCGGCGGGCGGCGTCGTATCGTGAAAACTGCATGGGTCGTTGAGCCGTAGCTCCTCGCCGTCTCCCCGTCGTAAATATGCGTCCATCCTTTGTTTCTGTGTCTGGAAAAGAAAGTCCGCTTGTGATCAACAGGCAGCTTGACACAGCTGTGGACTCGCATGAGGCCATTCAGGCAATTCCTCTGGGGTCAGGGCGTCTGGCACATTCATTGCTGGCGTGACTGGGTCATGGTCCATGGATGATGCATCATATAAGGTATGCAGGCGGCAGGCCCTGGTCTGCTGGTTGGTTGGTTGGTCGAGTAGTTTGCGGCACAAGTCACATATCAGCAGGCCGTCTATCCCGAGCCAGATTGAGCCAAGATGTGACCAGGAACGGGCAGTGACAGATGGCGATGGTAGCGTGACAGTTCAGGACCCTGAGAGATGCATTGCTGAGGTCGGATGAACCCCTTGAACTCACATCCGAGGTCCCATCGCGGTGCTCTGGATGAGACGGTTCGAGAGTGCAAGATGGGACTTGTTGGATGACGTGAAGTCGCGAAGCTCGAGAAATACCATAGAGCTATGGTTTGCTCACCCGCCGAACCCATTGTGATAGCGCACGGATGGTAAGTCGGTATGGAGGTCGGAAAGGGTGGTCAAAGGTCAAGATGAAGGGATCACGAGATGCAGCGAGGAAAAGAAATGGCAGTTACATGGAACTTAGGTACAGGGCAAGTGGAAGTATTTCGTACCGATCGGGGTAGGTTTTCCGAGCTGACATAAGCAACACCGTTTTTGGGTTTTGTCAATTGAGTTTTGCTTCCCGTCGCCTGGTGCGAGCGTTATCAGGTACCATTACCTAAGGTACCTAACACATGAACCTGGGATATAGCGACATTCAGCGCCGGATATCGGCAGTCACAGTGAAGACGTGCTGTAACACTGGACTGCGATTGACGACAACAGCTGCCGTCAACGGTTCCGTTCCAGTTTGGGACTGACTCGGGGAATCAGATAACGATAAGACATGAAAGCTAAGGGAACCTAACACCAGACAAAAGAAAAGGCGGGGGAGGATTGGCAGCTGCAAGCACTGAAAAGCAATGGAACGGAACGGAAAGCTTGGCTGCCCAAAAGTTGAGTTGTAGGCGAACGCTTCGTCCAAGCGCGCAACTCGAAGAAAAAAACAAGACTAAAACAAAACGCCTTGAATTCCCCCTTCGTCCCGTCGACAAAAACAAGGACCAACCTGAGAACGAGGCGGTGCGACTCGACTCATTGGAACACCTCAACGATACCCTGGAATACATGCTTCTACTTCAATACACACCTCAAAAGGTTTACATGGCGTTGCCTCGTCCATTCGTTCGGTAAACGCTGTTTTCCTGTATCTTTTACTTAGGCCGCGCTGCGCAACGGGCGCCACTACGTCATGAAGTTTGCAAAGGAGCTCGAACAGGACCTCGTGCCAGGTGCGTGCCGCCTTTGCTCCTCTGCGAATGGCTTCATGTTCTTCGTCTGCTTTCTTCATACTGACAACTGTGTCGCACAGAGTGGCGCATCAAGTACCTCAATTACAAGGCCGGCAAGAAGTACGTCAAGGCCGTCTCCCGCGCCATCAATCGAGCCAACGGCAGCCCCCAAAACAACGCCAGCAAGAGCGAGAACCGCCTCGCCGCAAACTTCTTCCATAGTCATTCACCCTTCAACAGCCAGAAACATGGGCAGTCGAGAGGCGGAAATCCCGACGAGCGGACCTCACTCCGTCACAGCCCGGCTCCGGTCGGCTCAGCACGACAAAAGCCCGCGACACCAGCACGAGCGATTCCCGCTTCCGCCAGCCACGAGCGTCAGGGGTTGAACAACGGTTCGAGCGATTTACAGTACGGGAGCTTCGTCCACACGCCGCCGAATCATGAGACTGAAGCCCCGTTGGGCCGCAAGGCGACTTTTGAGCTGCCCGGGCCGGCGATGCGTGTGCCGTCGCACCAAAGTGATGCCAGCCCGCAGCCCATTTCTACTCAAGACGACCAGCCCACCCGCCAGGCTTTACAAAGAAGCGCGTCCATGATTGCCGATGCGCCTCGCTCTTCTGGCCCGCCACCGACCGAACACGAGAACACGCCTGCATCGCTGCGGCTCCCCCACTCTGCGACAATCGGATCTGGATATAATGCTTCGCCGAGGGGTGGTCTTCGGCGCCTGTTCTCGAACGCGTCGCCTCTGAACCGATCAGGAACGAACCCAGAGTACGGGCTCCAAGGGCTGGCTATTGACCTAGTCCGGCAGAAGGAGAAGGAATTCTTCGACTTTTTAGACTCTGAGCTGGAAAAGGTGGAGGCATTCTACAAGTTGAAGGAGGACCAGGCTGGAGAACGTCTGAGTTTACTCAAGGACCAACTGCACGAGATGAGGAACCGACGGACCCAAGAACTGCATGTCCAGAAGCAACAGGCAGAAATCGACTTCTTGAACGGCGGACACGGCGACGCGGACGGTGCCCAAAAGGGCCCCCTCGGCTGGATCGATCCTGTCAAGTCCAAGATCTTCCGCCCAGGACCAAACTCCAAGGCCCTGTCGAAAATGGCCCAGACCCCAGTCATGCGTCCGGAAGGCGGTGACGCAGGACGGGACTACATCCGACGACCTCACGAACACGACGTTCCGTACCGAAGCGCCAAACGCAAGCTCAAGCTCGCTCTGCAGGAATTCTACCGCGGGCTCGAACTGCTCAAGTCCTATGCTCTCTTGAACCGGACTGCGTTCCGCAAGCTGAACAAGAAGTACGACAAGGCCGTCAACGCCCGGCCCCAGTACCGTTACATGAACGAAAAGGTCAGCAAATCGTGGTTCGTTAACAGTGACGCTGTCGACGGCCATATTAAGGCGGTGGAAGACCTGTATGCTCGGTACTTTGAGCGTGGCAACCACAAGCTCGCGGCCGGCAAGCTGCGAAGTCTGAGCCGCAGACCGGGTGATGAATCAGGAAGCGCTTTCCGCTGCGGAATCCTCCTCGGCACTGGACTGGTTTTCGCCATCCAGGGTGCCGTCTTTGGCGGCCAGCTGCTATTCGACGAGGATCCCGAGGTACGGTCACGCACCAGCTACCTCTTACAGATCTACGGCGGGTACTTCTTGATGCTGCTCCTGTTTTGCATGTTCTGCCTCAACTGTGCCATCTGGACGCGGAACAAGATCAATTACCCCTTTATTTTCGAATTCGACACCCGGCATAATCTCGACTGGCGGCAGCTAGCCGAGTTCCCTAGCTTGTTCACCTTCATCTTTGGAGTATTCATATGGCTCAACTTCAGCGAGTACGGGACTAATGAGGTGTATGAATACTACCCCGTGGTCTTGATTGCTATATCGGTCTTTATCATCTTCCTCCCGGCGCCTATTTTCATGGCAAGGAGTCGAAGGTGGTTCGCATACGCTCACGTGAGTTGTTCCTATCTTATCCCTACTACTGATATAAACTGATTATTCATGTAGTGGCGCCTATTGCTGGCTGGGTTGTATCCAGTCGAGTTCCGGGACTTCTTCCTCGGCGATATTTACTGTTCCTTGACATACGCCATGTGTGTAAGTTGCCATCATTCTCTTCCCCTCTTGCGTATCCTCGACTGACCTTTTACTAGAACGTCGAACTGTTCTTCTGTATATACGCCAACGCATGGGAGAACCCGGCCCAGTGTAACTCTAGCCACTCCCGGCTGCTCGGCTTTCTAGGGGCCCTGCCTCCCATCTGGCGTTTCCTACAATGCCTGCGTCGTTACAAGGACACCAGGAACATCTTCCCTCATCTCGTCAACGGCGGCAAATACACGATGTCCATCATGGCCGCCGTCTCCCTCTCCATGTACCGCATCAACAACACTCACGGCCACCTCGCCATGTTCATCACATTTTCCTCCATCAACGCAATCTACACATGTAAACCCCCCTCCCGCTTCTCCCTATTCCATTCCAAGTCGTATGCTAACCAAAACCCCAGCAATCTGGGACCTCTTCATGGACTTCTCCCTCCTCCAGCCCCAATCCCGCCACTGGCTCCTTCGCGACATCACCGCCCTCAAAAAGCGCTGGCCCTATTACTTCATCATGGTCATGGACCCCATCCTCCGCTTCGCCTGGATCTTTTACGCAATCTTCACCCACGACACACAGCACTCCACCATTGTCTCCTTCCTCGTCGCCATGGCCGAAGTCTCCCGTCGCGGCATGTGGACCTTATTCCGCGTCGAAAACGAACACTGCGCCAACGTCGCGCAATACAAGGCCTCCCGTGACGTTCCCCTCCCGTATCGCATCGAACCCCTCGTCGCGCCGCGGTCCTCAATTGAGAGTGACGCTGGTAAGGATGGCAAGGTACCCGAGGAAACGACCAGCGAGGCCGTAGTAGCACCTGCTGCTTCCGCCGGTGCTGGTGGCGGTGCTACTACTACTACATCCGCAACAACAACCGCCAGACCAGCGGCATCATCCGACCCCCGCGCCGAGGAATCCGGGACGCTCAGGCAGAGAGTCATGTCCGGCATCACGCCCATCCAGCGCAGCTTCTCCAAGATCATTGCCGAGGCGCACAGGCAGGATTTCGAAAAGCGGAGGAAGCCCGTCGACGCGGAGACGGAGCAGCTCGAAGAGGCGGGCGGAATGGCGAGCGATGACGATGATGAGGGGTCCGCTTCTGACGACGATGGGGAGGGGATCCGGTCGGGTGGGTCGGAGGCGGATTCGATGGAGATCCGGCAGGTGAATAGTCTTGTGCGTGATCGTGGGGGACGGTCGTTTCATCATAATTAGGAGTTGATGTGATAAGAGGCTCGGCGTAGGGTCTGCTTACGACTAATGAGTAGAATTTGGAGCATTATTAATTCGCATTAGCCTTCATGTTAGAGCACCAGGGGAACAGAAACTGTCTTTCAAGAAGTGGGTGCGTATTTGTATGTCTTGATTTGGAACGTATCCGAAATGATGCGTCTAATTTGTGCTGGTACATATTATATAAATCTACAAGCAATCGTAACTTCATGTTTCTCTGCGGTGACACCCACGGCAGTACGCCACGCTTGAACAACCTCACTCCCGCTCCTCGCCTACTAAATATCTAGAGTACTTATATACGTTCACCTCTACCATCTTGTTGTAATCACGACATATCAACCATCGTCTACTGCCACTCTGCATCAACCTTTTCAAAGAGGTCCAAGAACCCCTTGAAGAACTTGACGCCCAAACCAGGGTCCAGCGCACCCGTGGTAGCGCGGATAGAGTGCATACTCAACTGCGGCAATCCCGCATCCGCAGCCCTGACTCCCATGGCGGAGCTGAGCATGGGTCCAACAGTCCCGCCGCTGCGAGTGTCGTTGCGGATCTGGAACGTCTGCGTCGCGGACCCACTGAGCTCGCCGACGCGCTGGAGGATAGCCGTGGAGACGGCGTCGGTGGTCATGTGGCCATTGCTGTCGCCGCAGATGGCGATACCAACGTTGAGCTTGGGAATGTGTTCATCCAGGTACAGGCCCAGGAAGTTGGGGTTTCCTGCGTGGGTCACATCCGCGGACAAGAGGAAGGAGGAGGCAAAGGTCTGACCGATGACATTTGAGCCGAAAGCGACGTCGGCGTGGCCGCTGAGGGCCTCGACGGCGCGCTCGATCGTGAGGGGGAGGAAGTTGCCTCGGGCGCCCTGGCGGAGAAGGGATCCGATTTCCTCGTCGTCAAAGAGGGCCACGAGCTTGATTATGCCATCCTTGGGGTCCGAGTCGGCGGCGAGAAGGCCGGTGAGGGCGGCCCAAGAGCAGACTTTGTCGTCGATGCGGCCGCCAAAGATGAACTCGCGATCGAGGCCACCCGTCTGCGCGGGCTGGGAGTCGTAGAGCTCGAGTTCCCAGTTTACGATTTCGGTGGGGGAGGCGAGGCCAAGCTCCTTGGAGACGAGCTTGACAAGCTTGGGGGGCTGGGTGTTGACGAAGGCGCCCTTGGGGCCGAGGGGTTCGACGGGGGTGGCGGAGGCGGCGTCCGGGTCGGAGGAGTCGAGGCCGATGATGGGGACGGCCTGGGTCTCCGGGTTGTTTTGACCCATCATGCCGACGCCAAAGTGGGGTGCGAGGGTGGGGATGCGGGCGATGGGCCAGTCGAGGCGGACGAGCTTGGTGGATGTCTTGTTGGTCTCGGGATCGCGGACGATGACGCGACCACCGATAGAGAGGTCGCGATCCCACCAGGTCTGGTTGAGGGCGCCGGCGTAGGGGGCGACGCCGAGCTGGTGGTATCCGGCACGGGTGGGCTTGGAGCTGACTGGCTTGAGCTTGGCGGTGAGGGCGTCAATGTGGCCGGCGATCATTGCGACGCCGTTGCCGGGCTTGTAGGACTCGCCCACGGAGAAGGCGATAAGGGCAGAACCATTGCGGGTGGTCCAGTATTTGCCTCCGGGTTGGACCTTGGAGGCCCAGCTTTCGCGGGCGGGGAGCTCGGTGTAACCTGCGGCGGCGAGCTTCTCCTTGAAGTAGGAGACGGCATGGAAGATTGTGGGGTTCTCGGAGAGGAAGTCGACAAAGGGCTGGGTGTAGGCCTCTGGCTTACTGGCGGCAACGACGCAGAGCTTGCAGGCGGCCGGGTTGGCGGCGCGAACGGTCTGGCGGACCTCGCTGTAGCGGAGGGTGTTCCAGCAGGACTCGCAGACGGGGTTCTGAGAGGCTGGGCGGCCGTTCAAGTCGGCGAGGAGGAAGTGCTTCGAGGCCGTGCCGGGGGCGGCGGCGGTGGTGGATGCGGACATGGAGGGCGCGGGGGATTGGGAGCGCGAGAGAGCTTCGGCGTGCTCCATTGCTTGAAGGCGGAGGGAGAGGGAAGAGACGCGGGAGCGAAGGGTGTCGGGGGTGTGTTTGGTCATGGCGGGCGATGCGTCGAGGGGATGTGTTGCTTGAACGGCGGTGTTTGAGTTGGTGATGAGGAAGCGGTTCATTGACCCTCAATGCGATGCGCGTTGCCTGGAGACTGGGGTGGATGAGGTTGCGCGATGCTGTAGAGGATGTGTGGTTGATGTTGTAGAGAGGAGGGAAGTCAAGGTCTGACAGACAAGGTAGAAAGAGGCGGAGTGGGAATCGTAGAGGTTGGCTGTTGAAGACACCTCAGCTGGAGCTTCCCGTCCGAGGCGGTCACAGGCACAGGCACAACATTCCAGAGCAGGCGGCAGGCGGCAGGCGCAGGAACAAGAGGCACGGGGCAGCTGGAACCGAGCGGATCTGCGACCCGCCGGAAGCTTCGATTGGCTCCGGCGAATGAGCCTACGCCGATACGGGCCGAAGTGTCTGGGGTTCTTGTCTTATCGCTTGTGATATCTTACCTAAGCAAGCCAAAGTGGTGCTTATCGCACAGCGTTGGATCCGTTGCTATGGGGCCCAGTGAGGGGGTAACGGGGCAGAGCTTGGCCAATTCAAGCAGGTCACAGCACCGCTGCTGAGGTAAGATGCTTAGCTAAGTCACGATAATGACTCTGCGCAATTTAGGTGACAATGGCATCATTTGAGTTCTCAAGGTGATGAGGTGTAGGTACATTTTCCGCAGTACCTCAAGGGATTTTACACAACTATGATCAACTTTAATTGCAGTCACCAAAGCTTCATCAATTTGGATCAAGCTGCATTACCTAAGCACCTGGCTGGTAAACGTATCATACCTCACCTCACGTTGAAACTATTGGACGTATGTAGGTAGGTACCCAATGCTATGGATGGCATCAGCATACACCAGGCGGATGTTTTTTCTAATGTATTTCAGAATCTCTCACTCATTATCTTCTTACTAAGGATTCTCTCTATCTTAAATCCGCGGGTCATGATTTGGAGGTTAAACAATATCCGAGCAGACTCTGGGGCTCTAGAAATGATGCCGCTATCCAGTGAGGTACAACCTACTACTTTAGTTGATGACAAAGTACATGCTTCAGTGCCTGGATATCTTCAACGTCAATTTTGACAGACAATATCCCCTGCCTCATAAAGTCCGATGCCTATTCTCCTTCCGAATGACCGAGTATTTCCGTCCTCGTCTTACAAAGTGGACTGTGTAATGGTGATGCTGGGACCTGTTAATGTCATGGTGGACTTTGATAGCCCAGCCCGGCGCCATAGACTCAGAGGAAAATACGAGCCAAGGAAAGGTGTCGGAGGCGATTGGCTCAATCGCACTGAGAAATGCGGGTGGGAGAACCGGAGGCCGGGCAGAGGAGCGGGGCTTGTGGATATCTCCGGATCGGCCCCTCCACAGTGTTAGGACGCCTCTACTTGCGCTAACCCGCACTCGTATTCCACGACGGGCCCGGTGCCGACTTTCTTTCTAGAACTGTTTTCTGAAAAATGAGCCGTTGGCATCCCTTAGCATCCATCCACCTTCGGCTACCTATACCAGCAGCAGTCATCTCTTACACACACACATGTATCTTACAGGCTTACACCCGCACGTCAAGCTCGAATGTGATACGTCCCCGTTTCCAAATCGGGCAACCCGTAGGAGCTTCGAACCACCAACCCCATTTCCCCGCCACGCTAATGGTTTGCAGGGCTGCTACATGTAAGATTCTTGTGATACCTCCGATATTTCCGTTTGGATGGGATCGACTGGTGAGAGAAAGCTACCAAACGCTCGTGGCTTTGTTCGTTTCCCAATCTGACGAACACAACGCCCCTCGTTTTCTCATGATGGAAGTCTCACTCCAGGTAGCTTCGGAAGGTATGCCAGCTGTAGGGACATAGTCCCCTGGACCTTGTGTCTTGCTGGGAAACGATAAAAGGTGCTTCCATCTCCCGCTTATGAAGATTCCGAGAATAGACTTACATGAATCTCGACCACAATTGAACACCTACCTACCTATCCATCTACCAGACTTACACACTCCCACACTCTCCAAAATCCCATCAGCAACAATGACGACAAAGACAAAGCAGCGAACACGCGTCCCCGTCCGCACTCTCCCTTCCCACATCCCCACGGTCCCTACCCTCGACGGCGAAGAAAACATCAACGCCGCAAAGGAGGCAGCTTCCTTCCTCAGCAGCTTCTCCTCCGCCATCCGCGATGGCGACTGGGACGCCGTCGGAAACCTCTTTGCCGAAAAGTGCTTCTGGAGAGACCACTTGACTCTCACCTTTGACAAGCGAACGATCCATATACGGGCTGATGTCGTCGCAGCGTGGAAGTCACTCTCCAAGATGCGTCGTCCCTCGGCCTTTTCAAGTGACAAGGACAAGGACATGGATATGGACGCCGTATGGGCGCGTCTGGGTCCCGTGTTTGCGACGCTAGATGTACCGTTCACTTTCCGCACCGAGGCGCCGGCGTCGAAATGCATCGGCCTCGCCAAACTCATCCCCGGACCGGACAACAAAGGCTGGCAGATCTGCGTCCTGACAACAGCCGTAGTCGAACTCGACGAGAAACCCTTTGGCACCCTCCCACGAACAAGCCCATCACTCATCGAACCCTCCCAGCGCGGCAACCCCCACGCACAAGGTCTCCCCCGCCTTGACGGCAACGCAGTCCTGGACGCCGTCATCGTAGGCGGAAGCTGCACCGGCATCGCCAACGCAATCCAACTCGACGCCGCGGGCGCCAACGTAGTCGTCTTCGACACCGAGCCGCAGGCGGGCGGGAACTGGTCAACCAAACGCTACGAAAACGTCACGCTTCACCACCCCGCATTCATGATCCAGCTGCCGCGGTTTCCCGTGCCCAAGGGATACCCCAAGTATCTCAAGGGTACGGATCTCACACAGTACTACTCCTCGGCGGTACAGGAGCTGGGGCTGCCTTTCTTTGGCGGGGTTGCGGTTGTGAGCAATTCCTGGAGCGAGGCGCAGAAGATCTGGACGGTGCAGCTCAAGGACGTGAAGACGGGGGAGGATACGACGCTCAAGGCGAGGAATGTAGTCCTCGCCAACGGCTTTCTCGTGGGCAACGATAACCCCCGCGTCCCGAAGCTAAAAGGCAGAGAGCTCTTCACGGGACCAGTGCAGCATACCGCAGAGTACCGCAACCCGGCAGACTACAAGGGTAAACGCGTCCTCATAGTCGGGGTGGGGAACTCGGCGCACGACGTCGCAGGCAACCTCGCTTCGGACCCGGACGTCACGAGCGTGACGATCCTGCAGCGCAGCCCGACGGTGCTCCTCGACTTTGCGACGATCGCGCCTATCCTTATGATGCGGTACCAGGGCGACATCCCCGTCGACACGGCGGATTTCCTGCAGGAGTCGCTGCCGGTCGGGATGATGCGGGACATGGCGCGCGGGGCGATCGGTATGGCTATCGCGGGGGCGGAGGATAGGAGTCAGGCGCTCGAGGGGTTGGGGTACGCTGTTCTGCGGGAGACGTGCTTTATGACCAAGTTGTACGAGGAGCGGGGCAGCTCGTTCTACGTTGACCAGCCGGGCACGTTTGATCTCGTGTTTGGGGGACGGATTAACATTGCAAGAGGCGATGCTGTTGGGTTCGTGGAGGAGGGTGTCGTAGTGAGGGATAAGGAGACGGGGAACGAGAGGGTTGTTGAGGCGGATGGAGTAGTGTTGGCGACTGGGTATGAGGTTGTTGATTTGCCTGCTAGGTGGAAGGGAAGTGGGTTTGTTGATGAAGAGACGGCGGGCAAGTTGGTGAATGTGAGTGCTTTTGGGGTGGATGAGGAGGGGGAGGTTCCTGGGCTTACAACGTTTTCTGGACGTGAGTTTTTTTCTGCCTTATCTTTTGTGTTGGTGTTTGAGGATCACAATGCTAACTTGAATTTGAACAGATTCGAATCTCTACTTTGCTGGCATGGCTATTTCTCAGTGCCGAACCAGCGTAAGTCCGCACCCATGGAAGAACACTGGCGATATGATTTTGGCTGACTTTGTTGTTCATAGTCCAGATACACGGCCGTTCAGGTGCTGGCTGATATCATTGGACAATTTCCGGAGCGATATCATCGTAGCTACCTGGAGTGAAGCTCAACGCTCAGCTCTATGTCTTATGACCGACTCAGAGTACTTCTAGAATATGGAAAGATTCGAGATTTGTGACATGCTGTATGCGATATCATCAATAGAATCATTGATAAAACTTTACTTACAGTTGTGAATTTGAGATGTGATATGAAGGCGTCTTGGGGGCCAGAGTTGGGCAGACTTTATTGTTAAGCAACAACTTCCCCTCACCTTGAGACTGGTTCAAATATGTCAATACTTCATTCACCACACCACAGTTTGATTTCGGACTGTCTTAGCAAGCCTACATTCTAGAAACATCAACGAAAATGACTGCCAAAGCGCTACCAAAAGTCGAGCGGACGACCATCGCGGGGACAATCGAGATACCCCGCATCCTCAACGGCCTCTGGCAACTCGCCGGCGGGCATGATCAGAATATTGACGTCGCGGCAGCAGCAGACGCGATGAAGCCCTTGTACAAGATGCTTTACTACAGCTCTCAAGACTCGTTGGTATAGAAGCTTTACTGACACCTCTGGCAGAATTCAAGCTGGGCTCGATGGCTTTGACATGGCAGACCACTACGGTCCTGCAGAGCTCGTCGTCGGCCACCACAACGACACTTCATCCTCTCACGCTCCCATCACAGCCTTTACAAAATGGTGCCCCGCCGAAACCGGCGACAAATCCTTCGAAACAGCAGAAGCAGCTGTCAACCTCGCTCTCACAAGAATGGGCCAGAAGCAGATCGCGCTGATGCAGTACCACGTCTGGGATTACACGGACGACACGTACCTCCACAACCTATCCCACCTGCGCACCCTCCAACAAGCCGGCAAGATTGCACATATAGGACTCACCAACGTCGACGCGGCGCACCTGGAGCTGCTCCTTCACTCTGGCTACGAAATCGCCACGAACCAGGTCTCGTGCTCCGTTATCGATCGCCGGCTGATGAGGGGCCGAATGGCGGGGATATGCGACCGGCACTCGGTTGGCGTGTTGACGTATGGGACTTTACTTGGAGGCTTTTTGAGTGAGAAGTGGGTTGGGAAGCCGGAGCCTGCGGACGATGGGGAGGGGATGAATTGGAGTCTGAGAAAGTATATCCGCTTCATACACGCCGCGGGTGGCTGGGATGCCTTTCAGCGTGTTTTGGGTGCTGTTGTCGACGTTGCGAAGAAGCACGGCGTTCCTGTTGCGGCGGTGGCGGTGAGGTGGGTGCTTGATATACCCGTCGTCAAGGCGGTCATCGTTGGGGCGAGGTTGACTTCCGAGAGCGGGAAGTACGCCGAGGCGAACCTCGCAGCGTTTGGCTTCTCGCTCGACGAAGAGGATTGGAGGAAGATTGAGGCTGCGCAGGAGGGGTTGAAGGATATACCAGGGGATTGCGGCGACGAATACAGGAGGCCGCCGTTCTTGACGGCTTCAGGGGACTTGAGCCATCACGACCTCTGGGAGAAGGGTCAGCTGGACGAGGTGGAAAAGGCGATTGCTAGAGGAGAGAGGGTTGAGTTTCGGTCGGGTGGCAAGTGGGAGCCCGTTGCTGGGTACTCGCGCGCCGTGAGGTTTGGGAATGTCATACGGGTGTCTGGGACGACGGCGAACCCACCACCTGAGGTCCGGCCTGGGCTTGCTGCGGTGGTTGGAGGAGCTTCTGCTCGGTCTCAGGCGGTTGCTGCACTGGATATTATTGAGGGGAGTCTCAAGAGGTTGGGGGGAAGCATGGCGGATGTGGTCCGGACAAGGGTGATGCTTCGGCGGGAAGAGGATGTTTTGGAAGTATCAGAGGCTCATGGATGGATTTTCAAGTGTCATGGGATTCGGCCGGCTAATACTACGGTCACGGCTGGGCTGATTGGGGATGAGGTGCTTGTTGAGATTGAAGCTGAGGTAGAGGTGGGCAGTGGCAAGTCTGTCTTGGGGATTGGAGAGGATCGTGGGGCGGTTTGATAGAGTGCCTACAACGTCCATGCATGTATACGGCTCTCACTACTTCATAAGATAGATAGGATGACCATATCACCACACCTTACTATAAATCGCTGGCTGGAGCAGTTCTTCTATCAAGCATGACTTATACAAACATGTATGGAGGTCAAAAAGGGAAAAATGAAAGGGACGAGACTCGAACTCGCGCGGGTTGCCCCACCAGGAAACAGATGTTAAGCTGACCTTAACCTGGCGCCATAACCAACTCGGCCACCCTTCCGTATAATGATCAGGTGATCTTGGATGCTCCAAAGGTGAGAGTCAGGACTCAAGAATTGTTTCTGCTGTCTGGAGTGGTCTCCGTTTGTGCGCAGCACCTTGAGGCCCGCGTAAAGCAAAGAAGAATCCGCCGACTGGCCGTGGCGGGGCAAAGCCGAAAAAAAGAAAAATTCGACGGGGCTGAGTGGGGTCATCGTCCGGACCGAAGCGAGGAGCCAATGAAACCAATGCCCTAGGCACGTACACTAAGGTGGGGACGGCGGGTCGGAGGTTGCAGGGACCGACGATGACGTTTGTTCCCTGTCACCTTCGTTTTCTCTCTTTTTCCACGTCTTTCACAGTCGCTGACAATCCACTTTGTTCGACGTAATGGGACCACCAACCAATTCAATTCAATAATCGAAAGTTGACCACCAGTTCAAGAATGCGATCGGTGCAGGCTAAAGTCACTTTATGCCAAGTCTCCAAAAGAGTCTGGGCTGCCTCGGCCGTCAATCACGCACCACGGCCACCAAGGAGCCTCCCTGTTCCCCGCCTTGATGGAAGCACTTGAGGTGGTCGCATCTTTTTTTGGGAATGGAACCCCAGACTGATCACGATCGAGATAACGATAAGACGTTGGCGACTTTTGAACGACGAGACGTTTGAATCCAGCGAGTCTATGCGCGCCTAAGAAGCGCTTGAGAGTAATACCTGACCGAGATTAATAAGAACCCAACGTTCATGCGCCGCCCCAAAAGGAACCACACACGCCACAACACGTCAATTGCGAATAGCAGCTAGATGGCCGCCAAGAAAGATTCTTCATTTGACGGATGCTTAGACTCTGCGGGAAAAGGAACCGGAGCCGCCGTTGCTCACGTCCCACTCGTTCTTACGTGCCTTGATCATCTCGGTCTCGGGATGGCCGCAAATAGGAAGAAGCTTCGTCCACAGAGTACACACTACACAGTACACACAGAGCAGCAGCGTGATGAACCAACGCCAGAGCTTTTCCAGCTTCGCCTCATTTCTTGTCTGCTAAGCCGTTTTGGCTGACCGAGGCAAGAAATTTCTGGCGCACAAAGCTCCAGCTCGCACGACTCAATACCTACTACGCCTGTGGTATCCTTACGTTATCTACAGAACGAATAGATGGATGACGTTTCCCCCTCGGGCAAGTGGCCACAAGACCATCTCGATTCAGGATACGTGATTGGCTCCAGGGAGATGAAAGCAGCCTTTTTTTTTTGTCGGGTTTCTCTGCTTTGCTTGTTGCCTCTCTCTCTCTCCACTAGCCTCTTCTTAGAGGTTCAAGGGAAGGGGGGGTGTTCGTGCCGTCTCTCATATTCAAAAGGAGGTCTGTCCGCTGTCTGACTTGTTGGCTCACAGTTAACTTGGAAGTTGAAATGACTTTTCCAACTTTTTTGCAAGGAACATTACGGCATTGAAATCAACAACAGACAAGTTTTGGAGTGCCGATTATTGACTTTGGAGTGAGGCTGGCTGCCAACAGGGAACACTGCTCCGAGCTAATTGTCATCGGGTTTCGAAATCCCATCGGGACACTGCGCTTCTGTCGACTAATTCGCCCTGCTCCCGCTCATCCACCTTGCTTGACTTTCAGTCCTTCAGCTGCCACGGCCACAGCTTCCAACTTTTTCTTCGTCGCCTCGTCACAGATACATCCTCTAGAGCTTGCTTAGCTGCAAAAACTCAATACACCATAGAAAAGCTCCCGCCGGATATTGCCGAAGCTTCATCTGTTTCCTACAGGCTACAGCAATCCCATGTCGATCGATCCATAAAGAAGACGCCGGTTTCCACCCCTATTATAACACCCCTGCTATTGGCCTGCTATTCGTACACGCTGTCAACGGTCTAGACGGATACATCTGAGCACCTCAGCTGACGACGGCTTGCATTGATCACCGCATTGAAAGACGGGACCAACTTGCATCGACGGAAACATTGGTTTAAAACACCATCGCGACACACGCATATCCGACCGCAAAAAGCTTGTAAGAGCTTGCAAGAGGGCACACAGCAACACAGGAACACAGGACCAGCAACAACTTTTCGGACTCAACGTGAAACTCTCTTCTCTTCAACCCTTGAACGAACCACTCACCCCGCCGGCGCAATCCCATACATACGAATACCTTGGTTCTTTACCTAATTACGAATACCCCCGGACTCGATCCCGTGTCTTTTTTTTTTTTTCCTTCCCTGCGACCTAATTCCTCCCAACGTCGGCGTGCGCTTCGATTTATCCCTTGCGTTCGCCCACACCTCAGATCAACAGTTCAACGCGCAGAGTGCAACACTGCGCACCGGAACGCAATACAGCGCAAAGCAAACACCAAAGCGACAGTCGCATCTCGAAAAGTAATACACAGAAAGACAGAAAGACGACACCACAACAGTCATGTCGCCTGCCGCGCAAGCGCCCCCGACGGCCGCCGAAAAGGTCGCGTCCTTCTTCTCCCGCATGAGCCCCGTGCCGTCCTTCCCCGATTATACCGGCCCGCATAAGGTCGGCACCGTCGATATTGAGATCCCCGTCTCCGAGTTGGAGTCGCCCAGTCCGACGCCCTACAGCGCAACAGACATCCACACCGTCCAGTGCCGCGTCTTCTACCCCGCGGTCCCCGAGTCCAACGGCAAGCGTATCAACTGGCTGCCCTCGCCCCAACGGCAACATGTCTCTGCCTACACCCAGTTCATTGGCATCCGGCCCATGCTCGCAGATATTGTCTCGTATGTGCCACCTCTTCCTCAAACACTCCTCTGGCCGCTGCGCAAAAGGTGCTGTGCTGACATCAACTTATAGATTCCTACCGCGACACCTGCATTACACCACCATCCCCGTCCACAAGAACGCCGAGATCCTCGATCCAGACACCCCGAACCGACGATGGCCGACAATGATCTTCTCACACGGCCTCGGCGGCAACCGAAACACATACTCCCACCTGGCAGGCTCCCTCGCCTCCCACGGCATCGTCGTCATCTGCCCCGAACACCGCGATGGCAGCGCCGTGGCCTCCTTTGTCCGCATTCCCGGCAAACAAGACCAGTACTTCATGCGCGACACACGCCGCGTGATTCCCTACGTCCGCATAGACCATGATGCCCGCCCCGAGATCTACGAAGCCCGTGAGGACCAGCTGCGCATCCGCCTCTGGGAGCTGGGTATGATCCACATGGTCACCCTCAACATGGACCTCGGCCTCGCAATGTCCAACCTCAACAAGTCCACACCCAGCTTGACCCAGTTCAAGAACAAGCTCCACGTCCACGAACCGGGCTGCATCATCTTTGGCGGTCACAGCTTCGGCTCCGCCTCCATTGTCCAGCTCCTCAAGACGACCTACTACGCCGAGTCCTCCGCCCTCGCACACGTCCAGAAACCTCTCTTCACACCCCGACCAGACTCGGCCTTGTGCAGACAAATCACACCAAAGAACGTCACGATGCTCCTCGACATGTGGTGCTTCCCGCTTCTCGCCCCGGGCTCCGCAGACCTCTTCAACCTGCCCCTCCCAGCCTACGCAAATACGTCCACCGCCCCTGGCGGCAACGCCATCCTCGCCGTCGAGTCTGACGCCTTTTACAAATGGACAGACCACCTCCACGTCACCGCCCGCGTCCTCTCACCGCAACCCTCAGCGTCGGTGATCACGCCACAGATCTTCCGCCGCAGCGGCGTCAGCCTCCCCGAGCCAAACTTCTTCTACGTCCGCTCCTCGGCACACCTATCTCAGTCCGATTTCGGTATCCTCTTCCCCTGGCTCACCAAGAAGATCTTCAACTCGGAGGAGCCGGAGCGCGCTCTGCGGCTGAACCTACGCGCGCAGCTGCAACTCATGCGCGCCAACGGCGTGCCCGTGGCGCGGACATGGATAGGCGACCTCGTTGACGGCACGGGGTCCGGGAAGCTGGGCATCTCAACCGACGAGGACGGCGACAACGGGCCTGACGACGGCGTCATGGACGATAAAGTCATCTTTGAGCGGTGCGAGGGCAAAGTGCAGTACTGGAATTGGATCGACGTCATTGGCATGGGCCAGCCTGACGAAGAAGAGGAGGAGGAGGCGCCACCGCCGGCGGACGGCTCGACGGCGGCAGCAGCTACGACAGCGACAAACGGTGGCGGTAGCGGGTCGGGTGTGAACGCGCAGGTTGCGGGGGTGGAGCAGACGGATCGCGATATGGAGGATGAGTTGGAGCCGCTTCAGGCTGTCGCAAGCGCGGCGCAGATTGCGGCGAGGTGATGGCTTCGTGGGCGCTTGTGAGCGATGGCTAGGGAGAAGGAGACCTCGGTATGGGGTGTGTTGTATAAATCAGACGGAACCCTACGATTGACTGACTGCATCACGAGAGTATTATTGTTGTATTTTTAGGAGATTAGCGTAATTAGCATTCAGTGTGTTTTGAAGAGCACCCGCAGATACCACGATTAGAATAGTATATAAATCTCGTTACTTGAAGACATCGTATCATAAAGGTGGAATGGCACGTGTGTCGCAAAGAAGTTGAAATAGCGCGAGGAATTGAGCACGCCGTGTGTAAGTCTACTACAGCACGGGTAGATCATCCAAATTCACTAGCTCGTCTTCACATGTCTCCAGATCCCATCTACTAACGTTCTTGGACCATTTCTCCGCAATTGGAAGATCCAATGAGGCTTGTTTTACTTAGTTACATATGACGGGACCATCCGCGTTGGTAAGTAAGTTGGTGTGGTTTCTGTCCCACGCTGTGGCCCTCGGCTTGTAAGTCATACACGTCATCAAATATGAAGGCGTCAAAGACCGCGCGACGCCATGGCTGGCATTGTATCATTCTGCAACGGCCTCGTCTGCTGGTAGTAGAGTACTTTAAAATGGAGCTGGTTTCCCTATTGCTAGAATTAGATATTTCTACTTATCGATAGAAACGATTAGATTTCCAAATTAGACAAAATGGCACCCGTAAGTTGCTCATTCTCAAATACATACCCAGCTTGCAACTTGATCTGCGCTTCAAGGTCTAAACTAACATCACCTCACCAACAGCAAAAACAACCCGAACGCCTCAAACACGTCGCCGCAAAGGCAAACTCTTCAAACCCGTCGCAACTAGGCGACCCTGTCTCACTCAAAGCCGAAGTCTCCAAGCTCTCGCCGACGGAAGGGGACCTAGGTGCTGCCTCCTCCCACAAGCAGCAGCAGCAGAAAGGCAGCGACGGCCCAGCAGGCGCCAAGAACTCAGATGGATCCCCCGTGCAGGACTATGACAAGAGACGGTTAAAGGATGTTGCCAAGGAGGACCTTGAGAGCGGGAACCCGTCGCAGTTGGGGGATCCTGTTAGTCTCAAGGCCGAGGTTACGAAGAAGGATCCGGCGCCGGGGAAGGCTGATGGGCAGAGGGTTGAGAAGTCCAAGTTGTGATGGGGTTCCGTGGTATTGTTGAGTAGAGGCTGTATTAAATGATCACATTTTGGCTATATGTTCAATATTTTGGTTGTTTCCAGCGCTCGTTCATTCCACATAATTATTGACTTGGGGATGAGTCCAAAACCTTCCCGCACAAGGAGCCTGTCATTTGAAGCTCTACGGTATTCACCTAAGGGTTCTCACAACTTGGTAGTCAAGACTGAAGTATCGTGCCTCACAGTAGGGGCTTGTGAAAATGTGATGAAGGAGGGTTAATTTCTCCAACTACTTAACTCGGGGCCCAGGCGGCCCAGGCGGCCAAGCCGCTTTCTCTTCCCTCAATCAAACGGCCAGCTCCACTGCCTCTCCATTAAAATCCTGGATGCTCACCCAAATCATCATCTGATTCCCTGCCTGTAGTCTCTATGTAAACTATCCACCTACTTCGAACACTGATGGATCTTCTTACCTCAGCCCCCTCTCTTCGTATACCGACAAGGATAAACGGTAGATGGAATCGGGAGACGGACAGTTAATTCGATCAGACTGATCAAGACGCCGGCAGACGCGGCATCAAAAACATAAGAAGTCATCATCGTTAGTCCATGAGCTTATGCCCGCGCCAAGGTGCTGGAATTGCTGTGGTCCTAGTCGATTTGAATTACATTGCTTTACTCGCCTATAAGGGCCCAAGACTCGGCGTCTCCAAGTATCGTTTAGGTCTCTTTCTTCTATTTGCCTCCGGTCAAAGTGCCGTTCGTGCATGGGATACCGAGGCCAGTGGCTCCTTCCAGTCCAACACACTCCATCTCACCTGCGCTGCCGTCCTGTTTGCTGTCAGTAAGAGTCGTTTTCTTCTGAGGACTATTCTTCAACTTACCGCTGCCACGAGGGTAATGTCCTTGAAGGTGAAGTCCTGGCAATGCGCCGCGTCTTTGCACATAAGATACAAGCCCTTCTTAGTTGAGGCGCCTGAGAGTCAAAGTAACGTGTTAGTATCCCCTCGTACGTACATGTATCATTGAGTAAGGTATAGTTTGGACTTTGAGTACTCACCCAGACTTTGACTCCAGCATGGACTGGAGGTACAGCTGCCGTCCTTGAGACCCGAGCCAGTATGCGCCTTGATGTTCTCCCAGTGAAAGTTCTTCGCAAACGCCGCCAGCGAAGCGTCTTTTCCGGTAGCCCCCTTTTCTTGGTCGACATAGTCCTCGATAAAGTGAATGGGGTAGGCAGTGTTGGTAATTGTAAAGTTGCGCCAAGTAACATCCGAAATCTGGCACGTCGTGCCCACAGAGCCCTTGAAGCGAGCTCCCAAAAGCGAGTCGTGGATCTCTGCGTTCTCAAACAGGTACCCGCTACCCGATCCAGACGCACAAGAGACCGAGATTCCGTGTGTACCGTACCCAACCACGTTGCGCATGGTCACATTCACAGCCGGCGGGGAGACATTGATGATATCGTCGCCGTTCCAGCTCGTCCACCCATCAATAACAATGTTAGAACCACCAACGTCAATGCCGTCCGTGTTAAAAGGGAATGCAGTCTTAGACCGCGCGTCTAGCACCGTGTCGGTCATGTAGACATCCTGCCCGCTTATCGAGAAGCACCACGCGACGGGGTTAAGAATCTTCAGCCCCCGAAGCCGCAGGCTCGTCACGCCGAACGAGAACATGTGCGGGCGCCCATTGTTGCTGCTGACGTTGGCACTGGACCACCACTTATCGCCGTGGCCGTTAATCCAGCCGCCGCCCTGGGCAGAAGAGGCCGTGAACGTGACGCCCTTGCTGTTGGCGACGGTGATCCAGTGGCCCGGGTATATGGAGCGGTTGTTGACCACGGCGGAGACGGCGGCTGGGTCGTCTGAGAGGGTGAGGTTGCCCTCGAGTTGGAACTCTACGTTTATGAGGCCGGAGAACTTTAGCGGGGTGAGGAGGCTGTATTCTGTGCCGGCGCTGAAGACGACGCGGGAGTTGCTGCCGCAGGATTTGACCGTCGAAAGAATGGTCGGGGCGTCATCGCCTTTGGATTTGGGGACGACACAGGTCTTGAACTGGTCTTTGCCCAGTGTCTCGGGTAGCCAGTAGCCTGAGGCCAGAGAGGCAAGGAATGCAATGCTAAGGAGTGGATGTTGCATGGTGACAACTACTGTTAAAGAACGGCGTGGTTGGAGAGCTGCTGTCTACATCTCAGTACTCTACGCATGTTGGCTTATATATATATCTTGGCATGCTTGGCAACTCAGGGTCTTCAGTTCGTGTATCATCTCGTCAAGTTATGATGAACTCCTCTAACTAACTTTCACTGGCGCGACGTAGGCGTAAGTTTTCCCTGGGTTAGATTGAGCACCTGCGCCAAAGAGCAATGGGACGAACTCTCATCCCAAGCAGACCTTCCCGCGAGCTGCGACAACTCCAACCCAGGCGACTAATTACTCAACATAGTCTACCAATTACGCGTGTGGAGTGTCGGGAACCCAATGGCAGAAGTTCTCCGGATAATCGGCCAGGAAAACGGAGGGCACGGTGATTAAAGAGCGTTGTCCATTACCAAAGTAGGCAACGTAGGCGCAGCGCAGCAAGGTACCCCAGAGGAGAACCACTCACTCAGAAAGCTTGTCTTGTCTTCATGAACGCGAGTCGCAGGGTTCGACGCTGGTCAGCCGCCAGCGGTGCGCGACTCGTAGTTCTTAATCGCACCAACGCAATCTATATACTACACGGCAGAATAAACCTTCGTCTGACTCTTTCGTCTGGCTTCCTTCGAGAAGCCTTTTCGTATTGTTCAATCCGACACTACCGATGTAATCTACTTCAAATTTCGCCGCTTGCCGACTTCCCGGGCCCGATAGCTCGGTCACTGGTCTCCTCTCACACGTGCACAGTCAGATTGTGAAAGCCTTGTCATGAACCATAACGCAAGCATCTAGTTCTCTCACAGCGGAGATAGGTGTTGGGCGATGGCTCTGACCAAGGCGGATAGTCTACCAAACCGGACCAGTACTCATGCGTAAATAAGACACGAAGGAACACAGGCATGTTGAGACTTTTGTCTTGCTACCATCTACTAAGCCTACCAACGCCGCTGCCACCAGTGGCCCAGAGAGCAATTATGCATCCATGCGAAATACCGTCCGGGAGAAAGAAAATGGGATACTCCACTATACGCCGCCCTTATGCCATCATATCATAACCGCCCAAAGGACGCCAACGCATGTAGTACATGCAATAGAGCCCACCACTATCGTGGGTGGCTTGTAAAAGATGTTGAAGGCTTCGTCCATTCGGCTTGTGCCTTCCCTCAGCCGACAACGATCTCAAAGACCCGAAAAGAAAAAGAAACGAAACCCATACAACTCCCAAATAACTTGAACAATGACGAACAATAAACTGTGGGTGGGATAAACATGTCCGCCGAGGTATCCTCATCGAATCAGAATAACACGCCTTCCTTTTTTCATACGCCGAATTTTTCGCGACATGTCGATGCCTTCTCTCTCTCAAACATCGAAACCTGACTTGATAGCCCAGGAGCCGGCAAGCCCTTTACCGCCAACCTTTTCGGCAATCATGGCGATGGCTTCCTTCAGGTCGTTGCGGGAAATCTTGGCGTGAGCAAGTGCAACGTACGAGAGATCGACCAGCCCACCCTTGGCGATCTTGGGATTCGCCTCGATGACCTTCTTTAGCTCCTGGAGGTTGTTGTTTTCCAAGATCTTCTTCGGCAGTGACTGTACACTGTTCTTTGTGCTGCCGCATGTAATTGCTTTGAAGGCATCGGCCGGCTTCGAGTCTGCGGCAGGCTTGTCTTTAGTTGCCTGGGTCTTGACCGTCTTGTCCTTGATCGCTTGAGCCTTGACAGTCTTGTCTTTAGGCGGACGACCGACAGGCTTGGGTTTCGGTTCGGGTTCCCAGTATTTCGTCGAGAAGGGATCGATGCTGTGGTGGTGTTCGAGGCTCTCTTTAAAACATGTGTTAACACGGTTATATGAGCGGGAGACGTGATGTAGCTTACCTAGAATGAATTCCATCCTGTGCTCGTACACGGTACGGTTAGGACCCTTGCGTGTACGATCCTCCCAACAGAGGCCGGTGCTCTCGGGTTCGAGGCCGTTGGCACTCACGAACCGAGCAGGGCCATTATCCTCCGAGTCGTCGAGGAACTCGTCCATGTCTTCGCCGTCGGCATCGAGATCCTCGTCGTCATCATCGTCAATGTCGACGTCCTCGCCTTCACTTTCCCATTCAGCTTCAGAGTCGTGGTCGTAGTTTACGGGGAGTTGGTCGCGGCGGACGGGGTTTCGAGCGAGGCGTCGCATGCCAGATTTGCCTGCTTGATAGGGCCGGAGGGTGACAGTGCCCCTGTAAGGGGGCCGGACATCCTGATAGAACTTGAGTGACTTTGTAGGGACCTTTCTCAGCGTGTCTGCAATGTCCTTTACAACCGCCTTCTTGTCTTCCTCGCTGCTTGCTTCTTGTGTGAGCTTTCGCATCTTTTCAATGCTGAACCGCACTGGCGGGTAGATTTTGCCTCGCGGAGCAGGACGGCTGGGAAGTTGAAAAACCTCTATAGGATCAAAGCCGCCCGCTTGGGCTGATTTCCTCTTGCCATCAAAGTATTCTCCCAATATCCTCGTCTTAGCCTCGTGTGCCTCCTCGTCCATCTCGAAGGGGCTCTTGGCCAGGCGAACACTGCTTTGTACGAAGAACGGCTTGAACCGCTTCTCATATTCTGATAGCTCCTCCTTCTTGATTGTGGGCGTTTTGGCGTCTGGCGTCAGTGTGGATTTGGAAGGGCTGCCCGTCTTGATGATAGGCACCAGAGTATCCTTCTTGGGCGTGGCGGGTGCCTTGAAAAATGACATGAGCTTCGGCTGGGCACGCTCCTTCTTCTCCTTTTCCTGTTGCGCCTTGCGTTCTTCCTCTTCCTTCTTGCGGCGCTTCTCATCTTGTTTGGCTTGTTTTTCGGCGTCGGCCTTTGCCTTTTCGGCCTGTTTGACTTGTCTCTCAGCGTCG